AATGCAGGCTGTGTGAATTAGTTGCAAGCTATTGCATAGTTACTGACATGGGTTGAGACTAGTTAACACAAAAACTGAAAAGATTACCGGCTTTCACACCAACAATTTACCAATGACACAACACCAATGCAAAGCGTTCACACCACAAGTTGGCGGGTTTTAGCGCTTGCCTGGGTCCTAGTCAGCCACTCAATAGCACAGTCGGTTCTCCGAAACCCTACGGACTACCCATCGTTGGTTTTTTGGGAAGCCTGAGCATTCGATGCCTGAGGCACTCGTTCCTCGAAACCAATGAGCATAACGCGTAATACCATTTTTGTGGTGGCCCGGGGCTTCTAGTTCGCCGGACACTGCGCAAATTACGAGAGCCTACGCTGTGATTGGAAGAACACAATCAACCAGGTCCCAGCGTTGTGAATAACCTTCAGAATAGCTATGGGTAAACGCCGGATGCTTTTGCTGATACGAGACGGAGCGGTGGCGACGAGGCGACGATGATGCGATACGAGGCACATACAAGGGTAGACTTAAATCTTATGGAGACAAGATGGCCTTGTCTCTAGGACGAGACGTAAAACATTATGTTATCATGAAAATGAAGTAATTCTAACAACGTTTCTACCTTTACTCCATCTCGTTCGCCATTTCAAGAAACAGCCAGACTCAGGTCTGCCGAAGACCAGCCAGACAGTTCCTATCCCAGCCATTCACGACAGCCTACCAGCGCCAGATTCAGTCGCTCTATCGGCATCTGTTCGGGGAAAAGCCAGGGCTTGAAGTGCGCATTGTGCCGCTTCTTCCAGCCAGCGTATTTGAGGCAGGCCTTGTGGAACCGCTTCACCATCTGCCGGAAGCGAGAGAGCGGTCAATACGGGGCAGCGGGCGAGGGTCACAGGGGTCAAGAGAGATGCGCACGGCAGCCCGCACCATGTTGTAATTGGCTGTGTATTTTGTCGTCGGCACGCCGCGTCAATAGGACTCGGCGGCGACCCTCAGGACGGCTCCCGCTCGCGATAGGGAGCGGCGGCGACCCTCACACCCTCTCCCGCTCGCGATAGGGAGCGCGGCGACCTAGGACCTCCCGCTCGCGATAGGCGGCGACCCTCTCACCCTCTCCCGCTCGCGATAGGGAGCGGCGGCGACCCTCAACCCTCTCCGCTCGCGATAGGGAGCGGCGGCGACCCTCACCCTCTCCCGCTCGCGATATAGGGAGCGGCGCGCGCGACCCTCACACCCTCTCCCGCTCGCGATAGGGAGGCGGCGGCGACCCTCAACCCTTCCCGCTCGCGATAGGGAGGGGCGGCGACCCTCAGGACGGCTCCCGCTCGCGATAGGGCGGCGGCGACCCTCACACCCTCTCCCGCTCGCGATAGGGAGCGGCGGCGACCCTCACCCTCTCCCGCTCGCGATAGGGAGCGGCGGCGACCCTCAGGACGGCTCCGCTGACGACAGGCGTGATGGGACACCATACAGTCAGTAATACAATCAGGACACAAACAGTTGATAAGAAGCTGCTGCGCCGAATCAGCTACAACTGAAGGCATATTGGCAGTTCTCGTGTTATGGGAGGTACAATAATGCAGTAAGTACCTGCAAACAAACCGTATGTAGGCAATCGGAGAAGAAACTTTGTAGAATTACGAGACTGAAATGATGCTGCCGGGACCGGAACACCTCAGCGTGTTTTACACCACGAATGTCGTGACATGACATGATAAGACATGATAGACATGACAACGCATGAGACATGCTAGACATGATCATGTCTATCATGACATGATAGACATGATCGCATCAGACATGAAATAACACGCTCACTTATAGCTATTGGTTTGCTTTTCAGCAGAGAAAAACTGCTCAGACAAAAACCATTTCTCCGTTTAGCCGTTATATCTGGAAATCGTGCTCACAAACGCCAGATATGAATGACTCGAGCATTATATTTTCTTGACCTTGATCACAGCGTGACGTATGAGATGGTAGATTTTTAATGAGATTATTATGTCGTCACAAATGCCAAGGTGGCTTTCAAATCTTCCCCCATTGTGTTCTACCACATCCTTGCGGCCTTTAAACTCAAGAACCAGAAGGCTCTCTGGGTCTTAAACTGGGCATAGTTGTGAGCTGCATCAAAAGGTCTTTCATATGGCTATTTCAGGTTAAAACCCCATACAAATGTGGAGCACTTCTTTTAACGAAGGCATGCATCATAAAATATGCTCAAAACACCTAAAAGGATACACTACTGTACTCAAAATTGAAAACCGAATTGAGTTATCATCGTATGTATGATGTAAATCTGAAAGAGTGCGATTTCCTGGAAAATTTGGTCTCTGGCGTGACATAATTGGGTCAACTGTTTACCTCAACATCAGTACTGCTACCAAGAACGATATTTCGTGGAGACCAATCCACTAGTTTCTTTTTTGGCTATAATCTATCTGTAATTTGAAAACGCCAGGGGGCCGCAAGAAACCATCCCATCAGTCCGCGTTATGAAAAACAGCGAATAGGACGACGGCTAAGGTCAGATCAGGTTTGGGTTCCGATGTGACCCCGAGTGACCTTTGCTCAGAAAAAATGTCCGGGGTAAAGCTGGTTGCGTGAGAAGGCCTGCGGGTAACCATTAGCAGCATGCTGACAAAACTGAAGATAGTACCTAATGTCATGCGATAGTCCTTGCACTATTACGACCTTATAGGCGAAGGAATGACGCAGAAGGCGAGGATACCAAAACTCTATTTTCCGGTCAATATTTCGTGCATCGCCACGGGTTCATGCTCAGCACTCTCGAAAAGTAGGGGCGCAATGGTATCCGCAGTGCCCACTTCCCGTTCCTGTACCTATGATAACCGCCACTCCGGTCGGTACCGGGCGACGTTCCTGTACAGCTGGTGTGATCGGTATCTGGCAGCTGGTTGCGCCAGCCAGAGGCGCAGCCAGGGTTTTCTTAAAGAAAGAGCCCGAAGCTCAGTGGGCACGCATCACGCCGATCTTAACTCGCTGTCCAGAGCCCTCTATAGCCAAAATATAAACCGGGCCAAGGAGTGAGCCCGGGTTCCCCAAGTCCCTCACATGGCTGCGCCCCTGATGAAAGCCTTTGGCAACACATAGTTGTGACAACACTTTTTGGGTCATTCACTGCACTCCCAAAACGTCGCGAAGCCACTGTATCCAGCTATTTAACACGCGCCCGGGGTGGGTGGCTGTAGGCGACGTACTCGGGTGGGGTGGAGTGCCAATTTGACTCCCCTGAGGTCTCAAAAACTACGAGAGCTAGAGACAATAAACTCACGGGGTAGACAGACCTGCCTGTACGTGAACCTGCCGTGTCAAATTCGGGGTTCCCAGGTCATGGCCGTCGGGTCTTGTAAGGTCTTGCTAGGTCAAGCTTTAGGTCGGGATCCTAAGTTATTCTCAAGCATCCACATGCAACCATTTTTTTCTTGGTGCCTCTTCTAAGCAAAAGGCCACTGGTGTTTACTGGAGGTCAGTTCACGGTTTTTATCTGCAGAAGGTTACGATGGCCAAAAAGCTTTGAGACCGTTTTTACTTTTGAATTTAGATAAGCGTCCAGGACAACGCTAGGCAGTATGTTCCTACAAAAGTTGAACGGAAAGTGAACTAGGCCAGCGACCTAAGGCACTCATATAAGAACACTTCTCCAGTGATATCATTTGGTGATATCTGGTGACACTCATCTAGCTTAGTGACACCTTTGACCTTTATGAAGCTCATATAACACATTTTTTGACGTCCTACTTCTTAAAGCCAGGCCTCCAGTACAAAAGCAAGGTGTCTCTGACGTCACTCTTTCTTTACGCATGTCCCGAGTTCAATGAAATTGGTCGCAATCCTAAGTTCAGTTATCTGATTGTCTACAAAACTACCTCAAAGATGTGTGACTTCCTCTAACACTTCGTTGTCGCAGCAGATTAGACGATTCCCTAAGAGTGGCCTTTATTGACAGCCATGGCCAGGTTTTGCCTGGCATAGATCAGCGACCCTACAGAAGAAATTCATGTGTATACCAAACGATTAGCCATTGAATTGCCCACAGCTAAGGATGGCACGGCTCCACCGCACTATTCGGAAGTTGTTTTGTAAAAAAATTTGGAGGATGGTGGTCATACTGACCCCCACTCGGTAGCGTGTTAAAAGACATCTGCACGTTCCAAGGTGCGCCTTTGGAACATTAAGATAACCCGGTGTCAGAGGCATGACCCGATACCGACTCAGGTGTCAGAAGCGTAACCCAGTACCGGTTCAGGTGTCAGGGGCGTGACCCGGCACCAGCCCAGGTGTCGCTGGCGTGACCCGAAACCGACTCAGGTGTCAGAGGTGTGACCCGGTACCGGCTCAGGTGTCAAAGGCGCGACCCGGTGCCGACTTAGGTGTCAGAGGAGTGACCCAGTGCCGACTCAGGTGTCAGAGGCGTGACCCGGTGCCGACTCAGGTGTCAAAGGCGTGACCCGGTGCCGACTCAGGTGTCAGAGAAGTGACCCAGTGCCGGCTCAGATATCAGAGGCGTGACCCGGAACTGCCTCAGGTGCTAGCGCCGGCATTCCATGCAACTTTTGCGAGTCATTAGTAAAAGTTGTACCTGGGCGCTGCTGCCAGGCAGCATAAATTTTCCAGGTTACAACCAAGCACATCCTGGCTTATCCAATTTGAACTTCATGAAACGAGATCTTACGTGATTGATTATACGGTGTTCGTGGTCTGGACGTGCTGCGCCAGCATATGTCCCAGGTGGGCGATGGAAAAGGGGCGAGGGAAAACGAAGAAACGCGACGTGCAGGCCCAAAGTGTGGTAAAAAGGGAAGTATTACGCTTTGCTTTGCAACCCAGTCTGAAAAAATCAGGTTTACTGAGCACTGTATGCAACATGGCTGGATGAAACGGACGTGGAAAAGGGTGTGCAGTTTGATTTTAAGTCAGGCGCTGACGGCCGTCCGCATCAAGGTGGAGCTGACAGGATTGACTCACACTGTGCTAGCATTGAGCCTAACCCCTGTGTCTCACAGGACTGAATAGAGCCAAATAAAATGAAGCGCAGTGAGGCGACCCACAAATGAATGGATATTTTTGTGCTGACACGAAGACCAAGGTACTATCTAGTCATCAACTTATGTGGTTACCATTCACGCGTAACTCCTGCTAGTCACAAAGGGATCATTATCGTAGTCTTCTGTGTGATGCGTAAAAAAGAGTTATGTGACACTGAATTCGCGAGTTGAATGACTTCCTGTTAATTGATGAGCTGATCTGATGTGCGCGGACTATATCTTCAGACTAAAAAAACTTCGGTCATGATTTTACAGCGGCAGAAGCAGGGCTTACACTGTACTCGGAAGGAGTCCCACGTGTTGGCGTGGCATTTCCACTCATTGGCATCACGCCCTGTCGGCTTGTCTGCCGGGCTTGTTTGGGAAAACCACAGACATAAACGTGAAGTGGACATGATTATAATTGACTGAATACGTATATAACCAGCCATGTGAAAAGATCTCATGGCTCAATCCCTCATCCCATGGACCAGTTGATGACAGGATACCGATCCCCGATGACGAGGCTCATTCTTAGTCCATACACGCCCTCGTCTGCCAGAAAATAGTTCGCGGGCATTTAAATGCACGGCTCAAACCCTCTCGACTTGCATGCGTGGAACACGTTGCCCACGCCTAGTCCAAAGGTGAGCGGCGAGCAGCACTTCAGCGTTATGGCATTAAACACAGCACTGAATGCATCACATCCATTGCTGCAGCATAATGCGATAAGCCTCGGGACTGGCGCGGGCCAACGTTTCATCGGACGGCCGAGCAGTCGTCAGTCCGCCGTCATCTGGACCTCACACCTAATGTCGTCCGCCCACCAGAGAAATGTGAAGGCGGTAGAGGAGGCCAGCAGGGGCAACAGCGGCGGCAGGAGCGACAGCGGCCCGCTCACCTTGGGCACCAGCACCTGGGTGGCCTTGTTGGCCAGCCAGACAGGCAGCTGGCCTCCAGGGCTGCCGTAGGTTACGTAGTTGACCTGGCAGCTCTTCGGTGACAGGGGTCGCACCACGTACCCTGCAGCGAGGTCCGAGGTCAGAGGTTTATTAGCAGCCAGGTCGGATTTGATGCCAAAGGCCAGATCGATAGCTGGGCCAGGGCAAGGTCCTGGCTCAGGTCGTGTGAAGGTTAGAAACAGTTTACGGGCCACGTCAGCGGTCCAATAGGCGTCCGGTCTGAAGTGAAGCCCAAGGGCAGATCAGACAGCACGAGGTCGGGGATTTAAACCACAGGCAAGAGGTAAGGCCAGGCGTTTTAAGCCATAAATCAACGTGCACAGATTCCCACGGTGCCACAAGGACTCGCCCTCGTATCAGCTCTGCTCCTGTGCAATAAATACTCAAGGGTCCGTCCTGCTTGCGCAAGCGGGCAATGAACAACGACACCGTCTTGCACAGACAGACCCTGGTTGGTCTTCCTCAGCTGCTGGGCACGCTCAGTGTTTTTCTTCTTCTTTTCTTTCTTCAGTTTGCATGTTGACGACCGGTGGAGTGCAGCCCCAACAAATGAAAGGAGCCGGGACGTCATCCATGTGCCAGAGCTCGTAACGATATAGGATAAGGCAGCTCGCCGACGAACAAAAAGGACACTTTCTTGAACAGAATTAACATACTTCCGCGGCTTATCAATCCACACATTTGACTTTGTTTTTTACCTGACAGCCTATTTCTTCCCAGGAAACACCTGTACATAGCGCCTAGCGGGAAGAACCATCATCGCTTGCGGAGGATGTGAAAAACGAGCAATAATGCTGACCATGGGCGAGGTCAGGTAGAGGTCGGGGAGGGGGAGGGGTGGACACATCAGCCGACACGGAGTCTTTGGCTGTAGTCACGCGACTGTGCGGAGCTCGGAACTCGGAAGGGAGCTGACACGGAAGCCCGCGCGGCAGCCTGCTGCCAGGTCGGCGGTGGTTCGTGACCGAGGTGTTGCCTGCAAGGCAGCGAATGGAGAGTCGGGGGCTGCACGGACAAGGACAGAGTTTTTCTTCGCTCAAAGCAATGGCGTTCCGTGCGGGAGAGGTGCGATTATTTTGGCGGATAAACGTAGTCGATGGCCCCATTGCTGTATAGGGTAGCCATCGCAGTAGCGCACATGACCTGCTAGTGTACTAGCAGGCATGCCAAGTTGAATTACATCCTAGTCTTCCCAAGATGACTTCCCACGTTGTGTCATGACAAAACTCAAAGCCGCGGGCAGTTATCTCCGACCGTTCTGTATATATTCAGGTAAGGACGACAACTACCGCAGAGCAGTTGACAATGCGTTTATGCGGTGTTCGTTAGATTCTATGGAACGTCATAATTGCACATAGATCCTCTTTGCTAATCCGTGTGCGCATTTAGCCTGGCCTGCTTCCTAGCGATGCTCATTTTTCAGAGAGAGCAACCTGCGCAAGAGCATAATGAACAGTAACGTCAGTCAGACGAAGATGACCATCCCGTATACCCATATGGACGGACACATGTGTCAGCGAACACATACTTGCTATTTCAGTGGACATTTTGCCAACACTACCAATTTTACTCCCGAAAGCACTAATTCAGCCTCGCGAGTTGCGAGCTCCACTAAACCCTAGTTTTCCGACAACAGCTAGGCCGCTTTGACGTGGGTTGTTACCAGAGAAGACCTTGTCAAACGACTCTAAACGGTACTCATCGCCAGGCTAGCAGCCATCTTGTAAGATGGCGGGTGCCCGTCCGTTTTGTAGTTTCAGTACGCGTACTGAGCTAGGTGTGAGAGTGGACCCGGCCTCTGTTATGCACACGCCCTTTTAGTCCGATTAGGTGATCAGTCCGCAGCTCGGCGATAAAAAAAAACACAGGAGAAGTGGATGTTGGCACGCTACTGAAGCTGACGCCAGGGACAGCTAGCTATGCCGCGAAGTGCGTTGTCTGCTCATGGCTCTGCTCTCCTCTATTGACGGCGAAAGAGGCTGGGAGGCAGACGCCAGGAGAGCTTTGTGGGTATGGCGTAGTTCCGTGGCGACCGCGACATTTGGATATCACCAAGAAATAACGCTGGAGGGAGTCTAATGCCTGACAGCGTCCCGGGAGACAGACGGAGCATTTTGAAATCGTGAAACACGACCCGGCTCCGCCAGCCGCTAACCGGACGACTGACTTTGGCGGCCTCATCTCATCTTCGCAGGCCGCTGGTGCCAGCAGAAACGAAGGCAAAGTGATAGTCATCAGGACGCCCTGCAATGCAGTGGCGCTCAGGGCTCTTAAAACTACGTTTCGCCCCGGTCCCCATGACGGCGGTTTACTACGGTTCAACATAGTTTTACTTGTCGAACCGGTCCGCCGAAAGGAATGGTGCATTAAACTTGCCGACAATATAATGATTTTTTTCTGGAATTATTTTCCGCTTGCGTTGTCGAACAGGTACTGGTCAAATATGTGATCTTCAAGGCTTGCTCAACGGCCACATTTTGGGAAACAGTCGATGCAACGAACTTCTTGCCACGATTAGATTAAAGGGCAAGTCAATCGCTTGCCACGCAGAAAAAACATCTCGCAGCTTGCGGTACACACTTTCGTCAACATCTCCAGCCAGACACACCCCTGCTCTTTCTGCCCAGTGCACTACGTCTGGCAAACCTGGCCATGCTTTCAGCGCAAATATGCACATGATCATTTTCATACACCGACATGCACTTAAAGTATTTACATAATATTAGACCCTGAATTAATTTGATCCGTCTGTACTGCATTGACCTACAGGTCTCGTGGCACCCTCCGCCATTGACATTATGCGAGCACTAGCGAATCACCGGTCGCTGGATATGCTGACAGCCGCTAACTCAGCACCGGATGCTGCCAACGGATACAAGTTCTGGGCACTCCCGATGAGCGCGAGCTATTCGGCATTCCCAGCGACGCCTCGGCCAACAGCACCTCCGCGCGTATAACCAGTGACCAGGTGCCCACGCGCCGTGTTTGCATTTAGGCATTTAACGCCGTGAGGCATTTAACGTACTGGATTTCACCCTTCAACAGCCTGTTACGCACGATTTCAATCCATCAGCAATCAGTGACAGTCACGAATGACGCGCCAATCGCCCAAGCAATTCAAGACGATGTCTGTTGTGACGACCTCCTCCAAGTCTCTCATTTCAGGCGTACTTAAGCCAGGATTGCAGCGACCTCCATACGAGTCCGAACAGACACGGCGGGACAGACGGCCAGAAAACTCCCGACCCTCACCTGAGAGGTAGTTCAGCGCCCTGACGAAACCTTTCCGGGGCGGGAACTGTTGGTGCGACACCGAGTGCCCCAGGCTGTAGTACTCCCGGCCTGTGTCCAGCCACGAGCGGAGCACCACCAGGTCGCGGTTGCAGAGAGGCGAGGGGCAGGCCACTGGAACGACGTCACGACGGGTGACGTCACGGTCGCGGTCCCGGCTGGCGATCACGACCGCGTGACAAAGTGTCAAATACCTGACGATCGAGTCTATGGAGTATCGGGCGCACAACATCGGCAGGGACCGGCAAAATAATGGCGGCAGGGAAAGATGCTTTAACGAAACATAGCGGCAAGCCAAAACATCAAATAGTCAAAGGTGCCGAATTAATATTCGAACGGAGAATGATGGCATAGAGAAACCCAAAGTACTGCCGAAAATATAGACAGGGATAAAGCTCAACATAGTAAATGACCAGTTGGGAAAATATCGACGAGATGAAGCTCGCCGGGGATGAACACCGCAAAAGAAGCAAAGCAAGTTTATTTGATATGTGGCGATGGTCGAACAAACAACTGCACGCGCCGCGCGTGCAAACCAATGCCTACCAACCATATTCCGTCGGGCGTATTTGCCCAAAGGCTATGCTAGGTGGGGTGCGGTGAGGTGAACTTGGGCTTGGTTAGCTCTTGGCTTAGAAAATCGGCCCGGAAATTGATGGATCCAGCATTTCGGGAGCCCGCTGCAAAATATCATACCTAACGTACACTCAACAAAATCACCTCTGTCGTGCTTCCGAGAAGAAAGTGGACAATTCTGACCGATTCAACGGTGCTAATCACGACTATAATGCTTAGATTGCTAACTAGCTCTAGGTCACCAGATACGATGGGGCAATATAGGCATAGCACGTGGCCCTATTAGAATACACCTGTCAGTTTATTCGCACCATAACAGTTTTGGTTGTAAAATGTCCGCGAACGCCAGAATAACAGAGGCTATCTTAAAACAGTGTACAATTTTGTATGCAGAACATAACTTGCCAGGTTTAGTCTTAGGCAGCCATTTTGGATTTCCGCATAGGTCTGTTACGCGCTTTTTGTGCAGTAAAATCCGTAAGATAAATTTAAGCACCATATGCAAAGCAGTGGTGTTAAGTGGTGCTAATGGCTTCTTTTTCTGCTGCCCACGCCCGAATGTAACCACCAAGACCGTTGACCGGGTCATTTCCGAGAAAAAGCATAACTCTCGTGCATATGCACACCACCATTGCGATATATTGTGCTTTACATACGCAATGACGTACCAACGGCTTACAACTGCAAAGTATACGCAACTTCTCTTCGCTTGCCGATTGCACACATGCCTTGGATAATTCCGAACTTGCACCCAGCAACAAACTGCTAGGCATCGAAGATCTCAACTTGACGTGCTATCGCTTCTCCATCGCCGAACGTCTCGATGGAGCTGTTTGCCGTGTTTGTCATCGCTGAACGTCTCGATGGAGCTGTTTGCCGTGTTTGTCATCGCTGAACGTCTCGATGGAGCTGTTTGCCGTGTTTGTCATCGCTGAACGTCTCGATGGAGCTGTTCGCCGTGTTTGTCGCCCACTGCGCGGCAGTAATCCGGATACCAGCCGAGAGAAGCAAGGAAATGAACCTTTAGGGAAATGTAGCGGGCCATTTCCTGGAAGCTTGGCTGCAGCTCTCACATCATTTGTTGGTAGCTGTCCATATCGACGTTCAACAGGAAATTAACTGCCATCGTTCAAAAGGCATTTCAGGCGTTTCTCCCCCATGCCCATGAGGATGAGTCGAACCGCTCGCTTCTGAAGAGATCACGACTTTGTGACCCAAGAAACATTTTTCCGTGATTTGAGCCCAACTGAACCAGGAAAAAATATGGCTCAGGTACCCGAAACATGGATCATGTTTATTTATGCCCTTCATAACAATGCTCATAATGCCCTGTTTAGTATGCAGGGAATATGACCGAATATCACTGAATTCTACCGCAGGTAAATGCCTATGTTCTTGGTGACTGGTGTCAGGTTCTGTCGAATAGGCCATTTGTCTTTCTGGGATCGCACGTTTTTGCCAGACTGTCCCACTCCCATGCGAAACAGCAAAGTCTCGAGTAGCCGAGATGTAGTCCAATCAAACTCGCAGCAATCCTGGTGTCCCCGCAGACTTGTCACGTGTTTTCTCTTAGTTTATAAAGCCCGGAAGATATTTAATGTCACTATATGTTTCCTTCCTATACGACGCATAATCATCTGGACTTCACGGGCAGCACTTGGCCACTACGCCGGAGGCTGGATCTCCGGATCGGTTTCGACGCGTCTGTGAATAAGCTCGCCGGATCAGGGTGGCAATGTTGAGCGCTACGGTTGGGCCGCTGACATTGTTGCTACCAATGATGGTGCTCTACATACTGAAGATTGGAGCCAGATTGTTCTGGCAGTTACCAAATGATGGAACTTCACTACGACCATGCTGCTGTTGTTGCCTGGAGTGCAGTAGTTCGGCCTTAATCTCGGGGGTCCAAGTCAAAATCTCTGGGAAGTCTTCCGGTTCGCATTGTGCGATCCTGCGTGGTCCATGGGCGTACCACGCCATGTACTGAAGGGTTCACGGACGTCCTGATGTTGATGGATCGCACGAATGACACACTTTGTGATCCATTCTGGCTTCTGATGCGTAACAAATAAGTTGGGGATGTGGGGCTCAAAACGGCAACTCCATTTCCGCGAGGCACGGATCAGATAATAGGTGGAACGTTCGGATAGTTCATGGCTTACTTTTTCATCCTCCAAATACCTTCGTGAACTGACGGCTGACGCAGACAGAAATATTGGTCACCACTGAGCTCCGTCAGCGTAAGCCTCACACCGCCGGCGCGGCAAGAGCTATCGATCGCCCTCCGCCCTGCAGCTATCTGCCAAGCTTTATTGCACAACAATTGCACCTTGTGTGTGTGTGGGGGGGGGGGGGAAGGAAGGAGACGCCGCGCCATGACATTTACCCAAGCCTGCTTTGGCGACGTACGTCTCAATGCGGCTATAAAAGAACCACGGGTAAACCATGAAAAAGCGCAGGTCCCGTGGGGACAGACCCATACAGCGTAGGTCCCCGTGAGGGCAGACCAATACAGCGCAGGTCCCCGTGAGGACAGACCCATAGAGCGCAGGTCCTCGTGAGGACAGACCCACACAGTGCAGGTATCCGTGAGGATAGACCCATACAGTGCCTGCCAGTCCAGCTGTTGAGAGTATGGCGGCGTGAGCCACGCGTCGTCACAGCAGCATCGTGTAGTTACTGGCGTAGTAGAAGATCTGGTTGTTCGGGTTCAGGCAGCCGCCGGTGTCGATCGCCAGCATGCTCTTGTCATAGTGCTTGGTGTAATCGACGTCATGAATCACGTCGTACACCGTAGCGGCGTCCACGTCTGTGTAGGTTGTGCTCGCCTGCCATGCATGGGAGGCACCGCTGTAGATGTCGAAACTCTAGGCGGGTTCAAAACAGGCTCGCACTTATACCATACCGAACCAGCTCAGAGCACTACCACGCAGACGCTAATCGTGCTGTCGAACCGGCTGGTGTAAGAATTCGTTGCCAATTCATTACTTAATATGTCCCGTAGCAATTCTAGCAACTGTATGAGCCCTTTTAGTAGGTTAGCTTGATAATACGTGACGTTCAAAAAGCTTACCTTCATCATTTTGCACTCTTTCTCGTCTGGCTGTTTGGTCCACACTTTTGTGGAGTTGTTGCAGAAGTCCAGCTTCCATCCGTCATGGTTGTCGGCCAATGCCACCAGCTGCCGAAAGTCCTGGTCCTCCGCCACCCGGACCTCACCCAACCGCATGACCCTGACCTGGCCAGTCGGCTCACCCGCTCTGACAATCTGGGAATGGCACGTCAGATCAGTATCTCGGGTCGGTGGCCATTCATGTGGTGGTGGTTGATCGGATGAGGGAGCCGGCCGTCTTTCGATTAATTTTTACAGACATGGGAGCCGGTCGTCTCTAGGTTGATTTTTACAGGCATGGGAGCCGGTCGTCTCTCGGTTGATTTTTACAGACATGGGAGTCGGTCGTCTCTCGGTTGATTTTTACAAACACACATGGTCGCGCTTGTTGACGCACGTACTGTCATGCTGTCTCACGACGGATCCAGAGGACATGTTAACAGCTGGCATGGCGCCTAGACCATGTCCTCGCAGTCATGAGAACGCTGCACGGCACAATCAGGTGAAATCGACACGCAACCAGCTGGACTACTTGACGCTTCTTAAAACAAAGACCATGTGAAGTAAACCATTTCATGAGGGATACTATGCCCAGAGCTGGGCTAACATGAACTAACCAGGCAAACGTGTTTGCGAGTTTGTGCCTATAATAGTGCAAACAGATTTTGTGTCTGTAACACGAACGGCGAGTTTGTGTCTATAATAGTGGTGGATGACCTAACTCGAACAGGGCCTTTGAAATTTCCAACGCATGACCTGCCTTCCTTGCACAGCCTGATCACTTCCCAACTGAAACAAACTTTTGGGCTTATGACGAACTCAATATGTAAAAGAAACCACATTTTTGGACGATATTCAAGCACCAAACGTTGGATTGATAGCGGTCATAAGAGCACTGTTCCGGTAAATGTGGACGTCTCCTTCGAAATAGCAGCCCAGATGATTCATACTCTGTTCGCCAGTGATCACTTATTGCTTAATGATTCCCGACCGGCCTTAGCCTAAACTGCCAGCTGCCTTAAAAATGACTCTGCCTTTAATCCCATTATTAAAGTGTGTTGAGGAGGCGATTCGGCAACTCGGGGTTTCGCTGTTTTCTCTCCGAAAATTTGTGTCCATGACAGGCGCAGGAGCGGCACCGGAGTCCGACTTTGAGAGGGACTCCCGTGAAATTTGGCGATGATGCTGAGATAGTGATTGGCACGGGGTTGCGCTCGCTGAGTTGCTTCTACAGGAATTGCTGCTGTTTCCGGTACGTGAAACAGTTGCACTATAGGTGTCCTTAAATTAAGCAATATACCAAAAATGAAGGAGCATGGCAAAGGTGATTACAGGACTGGAAAATGGTGAGTTTCCTTACACTGCAAACGACATTACGGGTCGTCAACGCGGGCAAATAAGGAATACTTTTCGGCATCAATTTAAATCGGTATCGGTATTACGTAAAGCTTTGCATTTTCTGACCATCTTTGCACTTTCAACCGATCCATCTTCCATCTATACATCTATCTATCCATCTCCCACCTCAGTGCAGCAAACATCATTTAGAAATGCAATGACATGTCAGAAGCGAGTACAGGAACGCCAAAAGAAGAGGGGGGGGGGGGTTAGTGCAGTGCACGGAGACCATGGCCGAAGACCGTTATCAGGCAGCCAACGGCGGCTGCTTCAAAAGGCTTCGCTTTTTAAGGTTACGCTTCAATAAGCCACGCTTCAATAAGCCACGCTCGATTGCCCATATCCTTCTTTCACCTGAAAATTGCATACACCTATGGGGCATGTTCACACGCGGTATGCAGGCACCGTAATTCATTTCGAAGAGAGATCAGCATTGTGGCCGACAGTCAAAATATATTTCTGATTTCGCCGTCTCTTTCCCCTACCCTGGCACCACCTACGGCGATATTTTGGGATTTTACTTTCTTTTATGATGCCGTGGTAATGTACCGTCGCCTATGTTCACTAAAAACGTGGTAAAAATTACTTTGAAAGTTTCGTTGTAATCCTCCCTTGTTCTGTATCTTGGATACACCAAGCAATTCTGAATCTTGAAATGCTATCTTGAGATGGGATTTTTGGAATTATTAGCTGTCGACCTGCGTTAGTTGCGTCAAAGTCGGGCGAAACGTGGCTTATGATGTCGGGAGGATAATAATCACGTCGGGAGGGATTAAAAACCCAAATCGAAAGCCGTTTGCCTTTTGATGATCGACCAAGTACTTATCGAGACATCAAGAAGAAAGGGGTGCGGACCGACGCCCCCTGACATGACATATATTTAGCATGTCCTAAATAATGTGTTTTAATGGGGTAAATTGTAAAAATAGGGTTGTATTCAGGGGTTCCAGAAATAATGTCCAGGATTGGTGCAGATGGTTAATTTCCGTTTCTGTACATTTTAACAAAAGGCAACGATGCGTTTATGCAGTATTCAACAGGTACATTGGTCATTCCACGACTATTCAACCGGATGACAGCACGGTGTCCGTTTCACTTTTGACAAAGACAATTATATGAATGACTTATGCGGCCAAAACACGATTCTGAAAGTTTTAGAACGCTTTAGTAGGGCGCGCCAAAACGAACTAAGAGCTGATGCGAATGCGCGATGACGTCACGAGCCCTATTTTCAACTTGCTCTAGAGAAAGCAATTTGCGGAGCACAATGCTGGAATAAGTGCAATAGAAAACAAAAAAATCCTACATTTTTGGAACCATGGGTTAATATCACACACAGGGCAATGATCAATTCAAAACATATTGTGACCTAGCTTGGCCTTTGACCCCTTTTTCTAAAACAATTTGGCTCTTCGATTGGTTTTAAACCGACACGCATCTGAAAACGATTGTTATGACGTTCTGACTAAAACAAGAAACCGATTGAATCTCTTCTAGACTGGTCGCAAAACGAATTTGACCGTTGGCGGGTCACGCACATGGGCACGCCATAAGCCGACCACCCGGTGTCGGGTGACCAGTGGTGATCGACTCACTCCGTGGGGAACAGCCATCGTGGCCTGGAAACCAACTGGCATTCCGCAGCAAGGTGAAAATGAAGAACGCGTTTTGATCAATCTTACGTGCCAGCCATTAATCCCGAGTCACGCACGTTGAGAACCAAATTATGCTTCCGTGATGTTGCGTGCAGCCATATATCATCACTTCACTATATCATCACCTACAAAGTCATCGTGGATAGCAAGTTAGCTCACTACTCATTTGCTCTTGTCGGTTGATGAACAAATACAAAATGAAACAAACAGACTCAGATGCTTTATGGATTACGTTGCATTCTAGCATTTCACAAAAAGGAAACTGATATTTGTTTGAAATGGGAAGTCATTCCTTCGCAATAAAACCATTTTGAGCCTACACAATAACAAATTATATCAAAATGTAGCACTGACGACGCAAATTCAAGTGGCCGAAATTCAAAGTCCGGGGAGAAACCAGGTTTTGGGGGGAGGTTGAATCAACTTGTTTGGCTGAGCTCCTCGAACAGATTTTAGAAAGTGACGCCCCTGCTCCAAAGTAATGCACACAAATGCCACCGCTGTCATTACTGCATCTCATTAACACACCCAGTCCGTGGCGAGGGCGCAGAGAGGACCGCGCTCATCACGCTTGTTAAGCACTTTCATGGACGACGAAACAAAAAATTGCATTTCCTAAGCCGGCAAACTTTTCCCCGACCGTATGCATTAGAGTTGCAATTTTTCCTAGATGACCTCGCGATCCGAGCACCTTTTTCCATGGCTGAGCCCGAGACTGGATGTAGATCAGGGGCTTGTGTTCACAGATTGTGTAGCTCCAGCATATCCACTTGTTCACGGGACAGCATCAATATTTGAAACGGCAGAGACCGATGTTAATTTCTGTAAGCTGAAAAACGATTTGTCACCAGTTTCTACCAAACTCCTCAGATAGGAGTTCTTCTCTAGATAAATGTCAGAAATTTTACGCAAGCTCCTGCTTCATCATTCATGCTTCGGGTCAAATGACTCTACAGATAACTTCAGCTTGACACGCCAATTCTGCACATTTGTAACCGCTTAACACATTTCTAATAATATTTGTTGGTGATGATGGCGAATGATTTGCACCGCAACCACCTTAATATTGTTATGCTGCAGAAACACTTTTGGTTCCACTCTCTTTCTACGAATTTAACCCCGTTATGTTATTAAACATTCCTCGGAGGCACTTACTGACAGCGGAAAAAAACTGCAGGTCTTCATTTTCTCACCGCGCGGCAACACAGCTCTGCGCACGATGGCGCGCTATGGGTCACCCGGTCCGTATGCTCAAAGCCAGCAGCGATTAAGATGCGTGATGTATCGAAGTCTATATGTGCGGTCCCAAGCCTGCTTAGCCAGAACACGACGTAACTTGGCTCCGGCTCAATGCCAGATTGAAACGCAATAGTGCAATTTCAGAATAGATGGCTGTTTCTTGTATTATGTGGGGCTAAACCTCAACTTTATATGTTAGTTGTCGATGTGTCGTGAAAACTCGGAACGTAAGACGTTGCCATTCACGCGTTTCGTGAAGGACGGCAGGTATGCACGGTGAATTAGCACGCATTCGTCATTCAAACATTATTCCGGAAAAATATCTAAAATTTCGGAAGAAGTTCTAAGGTTTTAGGTTTTAAGATTTTACCTAGTTGTAAGATATTCATGAATGGTTTCAAGGTCGCGGTCACGGTTCCCGACGGAGTGAGCCCATCGCGCCCAGTCAACGACACCGGCCGACACATGACACCAGCTTATGGCGTGCCGCCGTGCCTGGTCCCCCACAGTTGAAATTCGAGTTGCAATCGATCTAGAAGAGTCCCCATTGATATCTTCGTCATTTCTAAATGTCAATCAATTGTTTTTTTAGTTGCATTTTGGTTTGAAGAAAACTAAACTATGTTTTTAGAAAATGAGGCCGAAGGCCAATGCACATCACAATGTGTACCTAAGAGACATCGAATGTTATATTGACCCATGTTTCAGAAAATACAGGTATTCAGCTTATCGATGCATTTATTCAAAACATTATGCTTCCCAAAATATATTTTGCTAGAGCAATTTTACAACCAGTATTTGTAGCGTCATCGCGTGTTTTCATCAGCTCCTAGTTACTTATCCGTACGTCATACGGCTCTAAAGCTTTCAGAACCCTGCTTTGGCCATAAAATGACCCCAATATACCTCTTTGTCACATTTGACAGGGGTGGCGTGTTGAGGTGCACTCAACCGGAGTCGGTTTGTCTTGGAATGACCCATGTGCCTGTTGAATAGTGCACGGCCCTGCAGCATGCAGCGCAAAGACGACAGGGCATACATATATGTAACAGCGCAAAGGCTACTATGCATATAAATATGCAACTACCTGCATTAATGCCTACACATCATATGTGCTGATATACGATATGAACCATATGTGCGTACGTCTGACAAGAACAAAGCAGACATATGGCACACAAGTAGGCGCAAGGGGGAAGCCGCAGGTGAATCATTCGGTTGCGAGCAGGGTTTTCCACCGGAATTTAGCGTGGACCAACCTTGTGGCTGGAAAATACTCGACATCCGTCTACACTCATTCATGCATCGTTGGAAGGCAGGAAGCCAAGAACTTGATGTACGTGGAACTGACAAGTTAGCGGCAGTCTGGAGCCACGAACCTTCCCTTCTCTTATTTGACAAAGATTGTTCATAAAGCTCCTTTAACGTGCAAGGTCGTCCTTGCACTTCCCGCTACACAATGTGCGTAAGTGCATACGGTTCTTGCGGACTACTACTCGCGATAACCGGCTTAGCCTTATCACCAGCTATAGATTCTCACCGTCTTTATAATTTTCACGTAACTTCGCTTTTGTATCGCGTCCACCGATAAACTGAACAGCCCTTTACCCACGGATAGAATCGGCTGCCTTTCAGGCGAACAAAACGGCTGCCATGGTAGCGAACCGCCCGCGTGTTGACGTGATCGATTTCGGTGGTGCACAACTGACGCGCGAGCCTGGCGGCCCAAGGCTGCACGACGGGGTGGCCGTCGCACTCCGCGGTTCGGCCGTTGTTTGGAAAGCTTGTTTCGGCCGAGGACGTCACAAACCCTCGTGAGGTTCGAACAGCGGCAGAGGAGAATGTAGTGTGATGTGGTCGGTAGCATGCACTGGTCATGGCACATGCGCTGAGTGGAATGCATGGTCAGAGTCGTGACGGCGTAACAGCGCGTGACGGCGGGAACATCGCGTGACGGCGTAACATCACGTCGGCAGGCGCTGGAAGCAAACTATCGACGCTCGGACGCCGGTCCTGGGCTGTCAAGGGCAGTTAAAACATTGAAAAACATATCGCGCTTGCCAAGTTTGTTGTCCGAACTCTCTCCAAACCACACGAGTACAAATCCATCTGGTCGAGCGGTAGCTAACCGCTTTTATGCTTACTGGTCCTTATACTGATACTTCGGTTCAGTATTGATGATGACTTGCAGCTAACTGTGTTTTATCTACACCATTACATGCTGAGGCAAGGGTATTTCGTTTCGTTTATCTTCAGGGTCGTTTATTTTGTTTCGAATTCCTCGAACAGCACTGAGGCGAGATCGATACGTTATAGAGCACATGTATACATTTCGAATTACAATGAACATCATTTAACATTGCTAAGCATCATTATTTACCCTTCTCGAGCACTGGTGCTCGACCAGTAGTCAAAGATAAGCTTTATCATCGGAAATTTAAGGTTTTCTTCATAAGATGTCGACCGCAGTTAAGTGATGCCCGGAAATTCAAAAGAAATGCAGCTTTAACAACATCACTTAATGGCTGCTATGGACAAATACAATAAGAGATCCCATTTGCAGGGGAAGTGTCGCTAGGGAGGAGATCTGACCCGCCCGCTCTCTATCGGCGGATAACATACTGAAAGCAAAATAACCATTGCTATGAATGCTCGAGGCTGCGCGTACTGAATACCGAGCACGCGGTTCAGCCGAGGCTGGCTACACTTCTGCGTCAATCATGGTCCAGCGCACGAAACATAAACTATATTTGCTCATGAAAGTTATCAACTGTACTAAAACTAGTCCCCGAACGAACTTTAGATACCAGGTAACCTTTAGGTAGGTAGTTAGGTCCAAGGTCACCCTTCTAGAGCGGATTTTGACGCGAAGACCTTGATTGCCCAACAACCTCGATCGGCCTTGACCGGACTATCCAGCTGCCCTGACGACTCATCCACAGCTGGGGAACTATGTTTTGCCTTCGAAATAACGGGTAGATCACCCTCTCTCACGGCTGCAATACCTTTAAATCGTGCTTTGTTCAGGGAGGGCTGCAACCCGCAGCTGGCGTAGGCACGATAACGCCTAGCTGCAGCTCAGACCGATACCATATCGTCTATCGTTAGCGGATAGGACCGCTCACACGCTGTGAAAAGGAACCGCTGAATAGCTGCTGCCAGCTGCGCCAGCTGAGACGTTGCTTTAGACCGCAGAAGCAGTAAAATTTCGCGACGCCAGTCACATGATACGGGTTTGCCACGAGTACAACTATTTGGAATTTTCGCAGTAGTACATTCCTGATCCTCCATTCTTTGCACGGCGCACCGCTATCAGGTTCGGAACTGGAAGAGCGGACGCAGACATTCCATACCGACGTGAGCGCCTCGCTGTCGTGCCGTGCCGCTGTTCAAGACGTGAGCGCCTCGCTGCCGTGCCGTGCCGCTGTTCAAGACGTGAGCGCCTCTCTGCCGTGCCGTGCCGCTGTTCAAGCCGTGAGCGCCACACCGCCGTGCCGTGCCGCCGCTCGAGACGCCGCTCAGCCACCTCCGCCGTCCGCCGCCGCCGCCGCCGCCGCCGCGCCACCACGTCACCGTCCGACTGGGCCGGCCCGCCGACACAGGTGGCCCGGCCGCCCCTCCCCTCCCTTGCCCCTCCCCGCCGACGCTGTGTCGATGCGCCCAGCTCTGTCGACGCCGCCGGCGGCTGGACGCTGCGGTATGGATCCGCCCGGGTTCGTCCTGCTGGCTGTTATGAGGCCCGGGCTGCAGTGTTGGCAGCGGGCCCAGGCCCGGCTGGCTTCGCCGGGGTGGTGATGTAGGTCGGGGTCGGTCCGAGGCCTTGTGCGTGGTCAATGCGGGGCCTTTTGAGGCCGTTAAAGGGTGTTATGGTGAAGCACTAGCATCACAAAAGAGACTGCAACGGCAGGTTCAGTGTTGGGGCCATGGTCAAAGACAACGGCGGATCCAGGGGTGGAGGAGGTAGGGAAAAGGGACCATACTCCCAAAAGCCGTGGAATTAAGATTTCAGCCCACAAAACGACTGGGCGCGTGCTATTCTGTGCATGCCGCGTCATGTTTCCAACTTTTTATTGCGTAGGTTTCTCGTTTTGGTACGGCCGGAGCAGTCAGCTGTTTCAACAGTCAACGCGTATCCGCAGCGTACGACGGTTGCGAGTCTAGCATGAATAGTCCGTTACTAGTGGGTGGTTAACCCGCCATCCCAGTGACATTTCGAAAGGTGACTTAACCTGTTATCCCATTTATTGGGTTCCCAAAGACCCGTTAACTTCAGCTTCACACCCAGCCTATCGTCACATATTTATCCTGCTCCCCGCATTTTATATATATATATATATATATATATATATATATATATATATATATAAAAGTAGGTGTGGATGTGGGTGTGAGAGCCACGTTGTGTTTTGAATGACATTCTGCAAGAACCGTTTGCCCCCCCCCCCATCCAAAATGGCTAGATCCGCTCCTGGTCAGAGCTAGGACACCAATACCATGGCGAGCGCTTAGTCACAAAAGTGCCAACAGGAGAGCCCTTTATGCAGCTGAGACAGCCTTCCATGCTACAAAGGTTGCCGTCCGCGTGGCTAACGGCCGGTGACCGCTGAGCGGCAACTGGTGAGTTTGCCGGTCAGAGTCCCAAGGGCGTTCGGTCTGCCGGCGTCATTTGGCCGCTGGCCAAAAGAGCCAGCTGCTGAAACACGGGCGGAGTCTTGCAAACTGTTGGCACGTTGGAGAGGCTTAGAAGGCAAACATGGGTTGCTGAACTGGCATTGACGCACCCGGCTGGTGGGGCAGGATGTTCGTAACAAACTAGGAGATAGCGATCAGATCCAGACTTAATTCCCGCAAAAGTTGTATCTAGGTAATACATAAACGATCGCGGTCTGCTTCAAAGCGCGTGTCCGCCTTCCCTTCGTCATGGGGGCCGAACCCCGAACTTCTGCAAAGGTCGACATCACGATTGTGATGGTACGATGAAAGGAACGTTTTAAAACGATATGAATGCCCTTTCCCCAAGCCTTCGACCCAAAGCTGAACCCCCACTTCACAGTTAGCAACAGCGTGCATCCGAGTCGGCACAGATTCATTGTGGTGTGAGACGAAGACACGGCGAGATTACCTACATTTGCCCGAGCATTGAACTGAAGTAACCCCAGCTACCGCTGTGGTGCTAAGCAGCAGCTCGTTCGCAGCAGGCACTATTTTTAGCAAATTAAGTCAAAGTTAAGACAAGCTTGGGCCGCCATAGGCAAGCCGAGAATAAGCAATTATGTATGAAGCGTGCGGCAAGCAAGCTTGAGAGGCGTTCGCCGTCTTAGGATCAGCATATTTCACCATCAGGCGTCTGAAAAGAAGCCGCAGCGGAGTTCCCTGCATCGACGTGGGCGCAAAATTATCTATAATTGAATCGAGCTCGCAGGATCTGGGGAAACCGGGAAAAACACGACGTCCGCCACGATGGAGTATGCATCCTTCGCAGCACATCAACCACACTGCAGCTACCTCTTCCGCTTTTATGTCCACACAGCGCGTCTTTCTTTGCTACAACTGCGGTTCGGCTATAGCGTTGATAAGTCCGTGGCAAAGGGGGTCGGAGGTGGACCAGCCGCCGGCCACGTTACCACACCGGCTACGGGTGTGATATCAGGGAACGCCATCATCTCACCACGAAGCCACGCGGCACTCACCCTCGCGCTCAAACACTGCACCACTCACACGCATGCGCGCGCGCACACACACACACACACGCACACACACACACACACACACACGTGCGCGCGCGCGTGGCATGCCCGCGTGCACCTACGCGCTGACACGTCACTTGTGCTTACACTGTGTACAAAGCGTATTCATACGTTAAGATCAGCCCGATACGGTGATATCCCACGGCCCCAGAACGCTCGAGTGGGAATAGCGTGCACGAGAACGCGATCCGCGAACTTCCCCGAAGACGATGCCCTGTGTGCACGGCAGCTGCCATCCGCCCTCATCGCCGTTTCAGCGACACGCCGGCGCGTCCCCTGGGGGCGGCCGTCGTGTTCGCCAGCGTCGGCCACCTGCTGCCCGCCACCTAGCGCCCCGCGGCCCTCCGCCACGCGACCGGCCGGCGGCGACAGCCGGGCGGGCGGTGGACAGGCGAGGCACAGGTGGCACAGCATGGCCGCCGCCGCGGGCGCCGAGCAAGAGAGTGGGATACCGGGCACCGCTGCCACGACTGGTGGTGGTGCGTCCTGAGGCTGGTTCTCACGCAACGGAGTAGGCAGAGACCCCGCAGAAGCTAGTGGACCGCGGGCGAGAAACTTGAAAAGCGGGAAGTTAGCGGAGCTAGCCGCTGCTTTTCAGTGTAGAGGTGTCGCACTGCCAGAGGCGGCGCTAGGTTATAACTACGTACGTATCACTGAAGCCAGGGCATTTCCAGAGGCATAACGTGAGTTAAACTCCACGTTTTTCGGTGGGTTTGGCAAGCCTTGGGTTATTCGAGCCTGTGTCGCGAGACACGGCGAGGCAAGGGTTGGGGGTACAAGGTCTCCGAAAATAGCACATGTGAGGCGTAGTCTGGACCGGCCCGTTCTCCGCGTCACGGCGCGCGGGACATGCTCCCAGACCGCGTGCAATCATCGTCCAGTCTGATGCAATGGGGTCAGAGAGGGGTGAAATGGTGGTGCGGTGTATTTACAAAAATGTACCGATGAATCTTTTTACAGTTCAGGCGAGATGAGCGCCGCCTTGGCAACGCCTCAGCGCGAGCGAGTTGCCATGGTAACCCCCTATTTCCGGGCACGTACGGATCACTGCATACTTACACCGCTGCGCCGCTGGCATATGATCAATAAGTCGGGTAACAGCCGCTACCTGAATAGCAAATTCATGCGCGAAACTTAGAGATCTCGGTTGACTGGAAATCGGCTAAAGAGCAAACAGAAGCATAATTGACGCACCGGGCGGCACAGGGAAAGGCGCCGAGGGATGAGATATCACTGCAAAACAGCCACCGAGTGACTTGACCACGCGGATTAAAGTTGCATGCGCTGCACCGCCCCCCCCCCCCCCGCATACGGCGCCAATAAACCAGGAAAAACGCTCAGCTCACATAACATCGCCAACGCTACAAGCACGGCAGGGACATCCGACGAGACCACGACCTCCCGTCCCGAAAGCGCGCCGCGCCAGGTGAGCGGATGAGGTGGCCGGTGAGCCACCCATCGCGGCACCCCCTCAGGACTCCAGGTGCCCCACCAGCAGCTGATCGCCGTCGGGAATGCTCTCGATCGCCAGGATCACCTCGGTCGTCTGGATGTCCTCCCCGTCGGCCGCCGGCGCCTGCATGTGCATCTGCCGCGCGCCGGCCGCCGGCCGCTGCCCGTAGTCGTTCTTGTAGCAGATCACCTGCATGTGCTTGAGCAGGTTCGGTCGACTGAAGAAGCCGCGGTCGCAGCGCTCGCAGCGGTGCGCCCGCACCCCCAAATGCCGGTTCATGTGCACTGTCAGGTAGGTCTTGTTGTCGAACCGCTTGCCGCAGGTCATGCACACGTGGCGGCGCTCCTGCGTGTGCGAGCGCAGGTGCTGCGTCAGCGAGCTCTTGCGCGTGTACGACTTGCCGCACAGCTTGCAGACGAACGGCCGCTCTCCCGTGTGCTGACGCAGGTGAATTCGCAGCGTGGAACGCGCCGCGAAGCCCTTCGGGCAGAAGTTGCACGTGTACGGCCGCTCGGTGGAGTGGTGGTAACGCTTGTGCATGAAGAGGGAGGAGGGCGTGCGGAAGGCGACGCCGCACACGTCGCACTTGTGCGGCTTCAGGCCGCTGTGGCGGTACATGTGGCCGCGCAGCGTGGCCTGCGAGCTGAAGTGCGTGTCGCACACCTTGCAACGAAAGGCGCCGCTGTGGCTGTTGAGGTGGATGCGCAGGAAGTCCGGGTGGAAGAAGCGCTGGCACACGGGGCATGGACTGCGCTTCTCGTGGCCCGTGCGCGTGTAGTGCTCGTCGCGCAGCCGAGCCGACTTGAACGTGTGCTTGCACGTGCTGCACTCGTGCACGATGCGTATCCGCCTGGGATCTGCGGAGGCAAGCGGCGGCGTCAGACACGAGCGGCACCAGTCCTGTGAACACTTCAACCGTTGAAGGGAAGAAACATCGGCCGCAGAGGTAGAGAATAAGACAAGTGTGAGACCTACACGGTACGAGATTCTCGGTTTTATACAAGTTACGAACTTTTTTCTCAAGAGTTTCAAGCGCAGTGAGGCAATCCCAAAATAGACCCCATTTCCTCAGCAACATTGCGTTCACCACACCGAGGCTTACGCTATTGGTTTACAGGTTTTCGCGCAGTCTTTATCCCAAGCTGAAAGCAGCCAGCCTGGGTTCCGAGCACTCAGTACTGCAGTTCGCGCCCTTGTACAACGCTGTGCTGGTGGTCCTGGCTTCAACCCATTAGTTCGCCGTCCTCCAGAATGACTTCACGCAGCGTCACACATATGACGCGCTCCTGTCTCATCATAGCATAATTTGATCCAAAGCACTCGCATCAACAGGAAGTAATGCCGTGGCGTCTAAAGACAAGGAGCACCACCTTGGCTTTCATACGTAATAAAAAGCATTTGTACATCTGGAATAGTACTGTATGCTTGCCGAAATCATGTGATCCATCACAAATTCTTAGTCAATATAATGTGGCTCTTCTAGCCATGCGTCAATTTCACAGGCATCCTCAAACATGCAAATACACACACACACGCACGCACGCACGCACGCACGCACGCACGCACGCACGCACGCACGCACGCACGCACGCACGCACGCACGCACGCACGCACGCACGCACGCACGCACGCACGCACGCACACACACACACACACACACACACACACACACACACACACACACACACACACACACACACACACACACACACACACACACGTACGCACGCACAGAGGAGAATGCTTCTAATGATAACACGGGGGGGGGTCTATTCCAAGAGCGATCGTTGCATGGCCTCGCTAGGAGCTTAATATCTGCAGCACTATTTGGCTCATTCACTGTTCAATGCATTGTTAACTACAACACATCACTACAACACGTTATCGTCCATTACCCATTACTCAAAACGACTAACTCGATCCAAGCATTTTCGAACCGTTCGAAGCTTTCAGTCAAACGGCGTTGCATTGGAGATCACTCTGGGTGCAATTCTGACGCACGCTACAGCCATAGCCACACACTGAGTCGGTGAGACTGCGCCTGACAGCATTCCGCCCCGGCTCCGGAGCTGGGAAGCGTTCAGTGGGATCACGCAGCAAATATCCGGGGCTGGGAGGTCTTCAGCGGCAACACGGGGCAAATATCCGGAGCTCAGAGGTCTTCAGCCGACCACGCGGCAAATATTCGGAGCTGGGAGATCTTCAGGCGGACCATGTGGCAAATATCCGAAACTAGGAAGTCTTCAGGCGAACCACACGGCACATATCCGGAGCTGGGAGATCTTCAGCCAGATCACGTGTCAAATATCCGGTGCTGGGAGATCTTCAGGCGGACCACGTGGCAAATATCCGGAGCTGGGAGATCTTCAGGCGAACCACACGGTTAATATCCGGAGCTGGGAGGTTTTTAACTGAATGACGCGTGAAATATCCGAAGGTAGAATAGCTTTAGCCGGATCACACGTGAAATATCCGGATGTGGTAGGTTTCTAGCCGTTTCACGTGCAAATCCTCGACAGCCAACAGCCACCAAAGCAAGCAGCATGCCGCTCATCGCGCTTGGTGGCAATACAGAAAGATATACTTGGTGGACGGCAGCCGAAGCATCCACACTACCGCATATCAACTGTTGCTTAATTCCGAAACGAGAACCTGATTAAAAGCCTAGCCGACCAGAAGTAAATTGCCGGATGTCATGCACTGTTCCAAAACCAATCTTAGATTGAAACACTGGAGTGAAAAGTCGCATACACAACAAAGTATGTCCACATTTAATATAAAAGTCAATTTAGAGCATTACACGTGGCATAGAATTGAGATTGTGCGACTTGAAACGCGTTACGCGGTGATGGCATTTTCGAGGCAAAGACCATCATCGCTGGAGCGAAGGCGAGCTGCATCTGGGAACTGGCCTCCAAGTGGCGGTTCCGACCCGAACTTTTTTCTCTGGGGACGCAGAGCTATCAACGTGCCAGATAACGTGAGCGAAGACTGGGCGTTAAACAGCAAAGCACGTTCGGGGAAATTTCTGACCGCTTTACATCGAGATGAGACGCGCGCCTCCCGATCATTGGACGAGCCGTGCAGCGCGTGCTGGCCGGCATGGTAACGCCTCGAAGTACGCTGGATAAAATATGGCGCGACGGTAGCCTTCAACTGACGCACGGCGCTGTGGAAAAGGTTGTCTTTCCGGAATCGAAAATGACTCTCGTGCCGCGTGCCAGCTTCTGTGAGAAGCTGCTTTCTAGGGCTCGATGAATGCCTGTTGATACTGCCCACATGGCTTATCATACCTGCATCCTGGATGGTATTGCCTCTTTAGAACTAGATGGCTGTCCGTTAGCGTCTGTCGATGGTTTCAGAAAGCCATGTGGAACGTACAGTTGACAGGCTGCCAACTGGCAAAGGACGCTTTTCTCGCTATATATATACATATATATATATATATATATATATATATATATATATATATATATATATATATATATATATATATGGCGCAGGTTACATGGCAACTACAATAATCCGTGCTTTTCTCAGTCACGGCGTGCTATATATCAAGGGAGAGATGCGCTCAGCAATGTGTGCGATTTCTCGTACTGCAAAGCAAAATGTCCCCAGCTATGTCAGCGGCCATTCCATGTTCCCACACCAAATCACAGTCTCTTCAGCCGGCGATGCGTGTCAGGTAAGTTCTTCTGAACTTGTGCTTCGTGGAGCCGTGGACCATTGAGCCCTAGTACAAATTTAGGTAATTCCTCGCTGACCTGGGGCGGATAAACACGGCAGGCGAGAAGACGACGAAGAAACGAGGAAGAGAGGTATATGGATTTTCGCCGCTGATCAGCTTCTGCGTGGTGAGTGGGTAGACAACGTAATTTTTCTGCACATCTCGGAATATCCCCTTACCAAAAAAGAACTAGGGCTAAAGATTTGGATGCGTTTTTTTCGGAAGCGTCTTTCTTACCTGAACTCTTCGTCTTTGCTTCAAATTCACGCGCAGACTAGTCTGTGGTTGCCTTATCCTTTAATGGGGCTTACTTAATTCATCACACACCTTGCTTTACATCTAGGAGGCCTTCACGCAGACTGCAAGTAATGTTTCAACTAACCCCGATGTCCGACGTGCTGCCTTAACTGTGCCAGCATCGGTCACCCTCGCCGTCTGTAACACCAGACGAAATTTCTCGTTCTTTTCGGCCTTCTCCATTAATCGATGTGACATGCCTCATCCAGGAAACCCGCAACCCGCCACGGTACCTTGTCGTTTAACACACGATCGGGCGAGGCGCCAATTTGACCCCGCAGGTTTTTCAGAATAATTTCTGAGCAGCGCAGCGGAGCCGTGCCAAACTTTGCAGAGCTGTAACCGATCACATAGCCGATCTTTTCGCTTCAGATCTTCCATGCATCTTGTACGGTCGTTGATCCACGGCAAGTCAAAGTCAGGCCATGGCTTCAGCGAAGGCATTTCCTAGGGAATCGTTCAATGTGGTGCAACAGTGGAGTGTTACACGAAGCCATACATCTTTGAGGCGGTTTCCTTGAACTCTAGACAAGTTAAGTTAGTATTACGACTAACTGCAATACTCTTGGGTAAGGTAGGATGGGAAGGCAGAGGCCAAAGCCGAATTGTATTTTCCTAGACACCTTGCTTTGAGATGTACTTTTTGACGTCCATTTCCAATTTCTTGATCACAGGAAGGCCAACACATGTGTCATTTCAAGTAAGAAGTGGTCAGTGACCCAGAAAGACACCTAGCAACCTTTCGTTTTTAGCCACGTACCGCATAGCGCAATTCATGACGATTTTTGAAATTCAAAACTAAAGCAATCTCGCAGGTTTTTAGCCACTGTCGCTTTCTGAAGATCAACTACGGTCACTGCCCGGAAATGAACACTGGTAACCATTAGCTTAGTAGAGATATGCAGGTTAAATGTAGTTGCATAAGTAGGTCTGAGGGAACATAGGACATTAATCTGGAGCTTGACCTTATTTAACTTCAAAATTTGAACCAGGTGAGTTCAGGCACAAGCCTACGCATCTTGCGAATTTGGAGTTCTAACTCTCAAAATATTTGAGATATTAGGTGTCATACTGACCCCACCCCGGCCGCTAGCCGGGCGGCGCCGCATGCAACCAGTCACCCGGGGCTCGTGTTAAAAAGATTACAACGAAAAGTTGTGTGTTTGACGCAAGACGTCAGTTGTAAAATAATGAGTGTCCTGTGATGGACACAATGCCATGGGAGCCAAAATGTAATCCGATTACGATGCTGGGTCTTTTTCAGCTTTTCAACACGATTCCCACGCGTTTTGAACGCTCAGAAGTTCCTCCAGCTGTTCATCTTAAGTATCCTGAACAGCACATAGTGACAATAAAATACATGCCTTCAATGGCCGCTTTTTGGATCAACAAGTGCAATGCCTGTCGCCAGCCTACGACTTTGTGCGTAGGAACCGTTTAAAACCACCGCTCACGACGGCAGCACGACAGGAAGTCAAATTAAAGTCCTTCCCCGAACAATTAAACACAATCCCAACAACTATGCCGGGGAGTAGGGACTCCGGGGATAAAACAGCACCGGGAACTCCGGTCGAGCGTGGAATGCATGTCGGCACGACCGGCTGAAAAGCAGGCCCGGCGGAGCAAACGAGAGCAGACAATGCCGTTAGGCCGACGCCGCCGCGACAGGAGAACCTGCCAAGTAGCGGGGACGTCAGCTGGCACCGGCAGCCACTCACTCAGCCGTCGCAGTTTGCAGCGCCGCTCGTGCTCCCGGAACTTGCTGCGGCCCGTCATCTCTTGGTGGCAGATCTGGCAGACGTAGACGACACTGAACTCGGTGGCCGCAGCCAGCTGCTGCCGCTGCTCCGCTGTCAGCTCCGCGCACATGATGCACGGACAGTCCGGGTCAGCCGTCCGTGGTGGCCCGTCCTCGTCGTCGCCGCTATCGTCGTTCGCCTCTGCGGCGTCCGTGTGGACCGGTCCCGTCTCCTGGTCGGCTGGCGGCGAGCGGAGGTCGCGATTAGTGCGGAGTCACGGGTCGTCGTCGGCGACGTCGTTGGGGCTTTCCGACGCGCCCAGCTGGGGACGCTATATGGCATCGCTTGGCTCTCACTCTGGCAGGAAGCGCAGGCACCCTGGAGAGTCGCACCCCGTACCTCTGGTTTCCAGACGTGTAGCGATTAACGCAGACTTGTTAACCACTACACTATCGACACCCCAGGAGCCACGGGTCAGACTGTAGCAACGGGTCAGCCTTAAGACAAGGGCCAGATTATCTGACGGGAAAACGACATGGGACACGGGTCAGCGACCGTCCGCGCTCACTACCCGGACTCTCCCCTGAGGCGACTCGCGAGCGGCGTCTAGCCAGAAGTCTTCAGGAACGTGCCGCGGGGTCAGGCCCACAGTTCACCGACAGCAGGCACCCAGATAAGGTATTACCCTGCGACGCGGCGGGCGGGTGTTCCTCTGGGACCCGCTCCTGGTCCGGGGCGCCGTCGCCATCCATGCCTGGCGGCTTGTCTGAAGACACCTCTACAACTTGGATCGGCTGGTTCTGGAGACATCCAATGAATATAAAGATCAATGATTTTGTCACATAGGTAACTGTGTACAAAGTAGCGTAGTGTATATATTATAAGATTAACCGCATTAAAACCTTTATGCTTCGCAGTTCCGATAATTCCGCACAAAGCCAATCTTAGACGGGCATGTTGCGCAACGCATAACATCACAGCTAAACATGAAAATCTACAAACCACACTCCGCAAGCCCAGGAACTAAGTTATGATCAACAACATAACCAGACCAAAGGCATCGCAAATAACGAAAAACACTGGGAGATTGCCAAGCGGTGACGCAGCTAGTTTCTGCATTGGGGTGGACAGGGGACTGGCTAGTCCAGACATGCCCGAATCCAGGGGACGTTTGACCACGTGTGTGCCTGTGTGGGTTACCATATGAAGACGGACACACCGCCCAGTGGCTGGGCGGTGCGTCGTCGCACTAGGCGCGTGACGGCTGGCACGTCACAGTGAGCGTGCGACACCTGACACGTCACAGTGAGCGTGCGACACCTGACGCGTCACAGTGAGCATGTGACGCCTGACACGTCACAGTGAGCATGTGACGCCTGGCACGTCACAGTGAGCGTGCGACACCTGACACGTCACAGTGAGCGTGTGACGCTTGACACGTCACAGTGAGCGTGTGACGCCTGACACGTCACAGCGAGCGTGTGACGCCTGACACGGACACATCATCACAGCGAGCGGGTGACGCCTGACACGTCACAGCGAGCGTGTGACGCCTGACACGTCACGGCGGGCGTACAGACTGCTCAGCGTGTGACAGTCAGCGTGCAGCTGTCGGGTGGACCATGACTATCTGGCAGTGGGCGGACGTTGCCCTCCCTCGCCACCGGCGACTGCCGCGGCGCGCGCGCACTGGGAACCCGTACCTCGGGCGGGTTGGGCAGCTTGGGCCGGCCGCGGCGTCCCTTGGCCTTGCCCCGCTCCGAGCGGTGGTAGGTGCGCCGCGGAGGCCGGTTCGGATCCGCCCGGTACTTGGCTTGCTGAAACGGAGCGTGTCGGCGATCAGCGCTGCCACGCGCCTCGGCTCTGCCGTATCGCTATCCTCAAAGTCAAGAAAGGTCTAGTGAACTTGCTTGTGCGTTCCACACCGCACGCAGAGTCGCGCACCCACCAGATCGTGATGACACGTGCGAATTCTCTGCACAACGTGTGCTAACGCCAGCTCCCAAGTACACAACTCCTAACAATAGCCAGACTGCGGCTGGTGCAAGGCTCACCTAGGCTGTGACATGTGGAGAGATAATGTACAAAGACGACGGCTGCAGCCACTTCGCAGCACGCGTCAGCCGAGCGTGCTGCCTGTGGGGGGGGGGGGGGGGGGGAGGGGGGCAGCGGCCGTCTCACCATGTCAGGGATGACGATGACCCGGGGAGGCCGGCTCGTGGCGTGCACAGCCGTCGCCACGTAGGCGTTGCGCCTGATGGCGATGCGCGCCGACCGCTTGGTCTCGGACGGCACGGTCAGGTCTGTCAGCTGCTCCAGCTGCGGCAGGACGGCGGTAATAGGGGGGAGAGGGGCGAGGTCAGAGGCGGCCAGACGCGGACACGCTCACGTCGGACGCGACAGACAGCTTGGTGCCGGCAAACCAGACAGACGGTTTAATGCAGGACACGCGCATCGACAGGTCAGCGTTCGTGCGCTCTGGCGTCGGACTTTCTTCCCAGGAAGATTATGGTGCGAAATAAGGCCGGGGCGCCGATTTCAGACGTCACCGCTATTTCACACCAGCGAACACGTGTTCTCAAACAAGAAAAATGGTTTCACAGCCGGCACTTGTCCCACAGATCATCAACCGCTGAAGCGAACACCACTCCCGACCACCGACGGACGGTACCCCCCTTCGCACGTCCCTCCCCCCCCCCGCACAAGCTCCGCTACTACGCCGCCCGCGTCGCCGGCCGCCGACTCCACTGACCGACGGCTCCTGCTCGTCGTCCGAGGCCCAGGTGCGCGGCGGGCGCGGACGGCTGCTGCCGTGGCGCACGTCCAGCACCGGCGTCCACTCCTCCTGCACCACGTCCGTGCCGAAGTTGGCCCACGGACTCGGGTAGGCCGGCTCCTTCTTCGCCAGCGGCCCTGAGCCGGGGCACGCGACGGTCGTCAGGCGGAACAAGGCTCAGCACAAGTAATCACAGCGATTAGTAGCGCTGCCACCGGGCACAACGGTTGCTGCGCAGCAGGAACACAATGGACGGAAGCCGGCGTCGCACTCATAACCGACCAGCGGCGGTGCGCGGTGTTAGTGGCAGTGGTGCGTAAAGGCGCAGCCGGCAACCCGGGGCATAGCGAAGGCGCTTCCCGAGACGGATGATGTAAAGCAACTAATGCGGGGAAGCTCGATTGGATTTTCCACGCGAAGTCACGCATCACCGAGATTGATCTCCATCACAAATACTTGCCATACGGTAACATTGGAAAGTGCAGCACATGAGAACTCTGCGCTTTAACAAAGGTTACTTATGATACGAGGCTACTGAACTCAATTGCAGTACACCTCAACATGTACATGACAATCTATCTAGCGGACAAGACCAACTTCTTTTTAAGGATATCCAGCATAGGCACCCGGCTGCGGCCACCAAACCCCCTCTTTAGGAAGCACACCACCGAGAGGGCCGCACTACCCCACACTCTGTCACCAGCCAGCCGTCCAGCCCGCGGCCTGGTCGGCGGCGGCGCGCCGGCCCAACTCACGGCCTCGTTTGCGCCTGGAGACGCCGCGGCCGTGGCCTGTCTCTCCCAGCCGCGCCGCTACGATGTTGCGGAGGTGTTGCGACGCCGACTGCGGACAGCGGACCGGTGACGTCACAAGGGGAGATCACGGGAGGTGGCGGCACAACTAGCGATTCTCACAACGGGCCAAGCAGTGTCAGCAAGCTCTGACGATAGGGAGACCGGCGGAACTGAGCGGCGCACGCAGTCGAGAACTGGCAGCGCCGGCCGACATCGACAGTCGAGAACTGGTAGCGCCGGCCGACACCGACAGCCGAGAACTGACAGCGCCGGCCGACACCGACAGCCGAGAACTGGCAGCACCGGCCGACACCGACAGCCGAGAACTGGCAGCGCCGGTCGACACGGACAGCCGAGAACTGCCAGCACCGGCCGACACGGACAGTCAATAACTGGCAGCACTGGCCGACACGGACAGCCGGGAACTGGCAGCACCGGCCAACGCCGACAGTCGAAAACTGGCAGCACCGGCCGACACCGACAGCCAAGAACTGGCAGCGTCAGCAGACACTGACAGCCGGGAACTGGCAGCGCCGGCCGACACCGACAGCCCAGAACTGGCAGCGCCGGCCGACACCGACAGCCGAGAACTGGCAGCGTCAGCAGACACCGACAGCCGGGAACTGGCAGCGCCGGCCGACACCGACAGCCGAGAACTGGCAGCACCGGCCGACACTGACAGCCGAGAACTGGCAGCGCCGGCCGACACGGACAGCCGGGAACTGGCAGCACCGGCCGACACGGACAGTCAAGAACTGGCAGCACCGGCCGACACGGACAGCCGGGAACTGGCAGCACCGGCCAACGCCGACAGTCGAAAACTGGCAGCACCGGCCGACACCGACAGCCGAGAACTGGCAGCGTCAGCAGACACCGACAGCCGGGAACTGGCAGCGCCGGCCGACACCGACAGTCGAGAACTGGCAGCGCCGCCAAGGGATGGCGTATACCGGTATTGGCCTCGTCACAATGAGACTCACATCGCTGGAGAATCAATTGCTCCGGACGCATGGGACGTGTGACGGAGATAGTGCGTAGTCATAGGGAGGGCACGACAGGGGCAGCCAAACCATATGTCAGAAGTTCTAAAAAAAAAAACACTTTTGAAACTATGATCATCAAGAACAACGTCGATTGCACCTCAAAACAGCAAAATCAGCGACCTATATCTTCTCATGGTACTAATGCATTTTCTACACACTCCGTTTGGTGACAACATCTGGTGCTCAACGCAGCACCAGATAGCAAACAACAGAGCGAGCGGAATGGAGCGCACCCGTATGCCGACGAGCAGACGAAGACGGACAAGACAGCACAAACAAAACTCGACATCGGCGACCAAAAGCCCTTCAAACCTGCAGCACACGACCACACCTGACACAGTCTCAAGTCATACCCCCTCGCCCTCTCACCGCTTGCAGCGGACTGGGTTTGTCGCACTGGTTGACGAGCGTGGCGCAGACGGGACAGAGTCCGTCAGCAGAGCTGACGGTCAGCTCGCGCTGCACGGTGTCGGCCAGCAGCTCGGCCAGCGGTGTGTCCGAGTGGCGCGTGCGGCCCGACATGAGCGAGGCGAGCAGCTCCGGCGCCGGCCGCTCGCCGCACACGTAGCACGCGCCCGACGGCACCGCCTCCGCCTCCGCCTCCGGCTCCGCCCCCGCCTCCGGCTCCGGCTCGGGCCCAGGCTCCGGGTCAGGCTCCAGCTTCAGCTCCAGCTCCGGCTCCGGCCCCGCCTCCGGATCCGGTTCCGCCCCCGGCTCCGGCTCCGTCTCCGGCTCCGGCTCCGCAGGCTCCTGCAGGTCGGCGGATTGTCACGGCGTAAGCCCCGAGAGGCACTTATGCGCTTATGTGCATTAGCAACGCATCGTCCTGGGCTTACGGCGCGTCACTTACGACACGTTTACACGGCTACGATCCGATTATGGCACTGCGTACAAATGCGGGCACGATCTTACGGGACAGAAACCTAGTAAAGACACTGTTTGCGCCAGTGCATTATTCTCAGAGGATGACGTTGTTGACAACAGGCAGCGGATCAAAACGGACGACGCCCGAGGACGAGAACGACGCAAGGATCAACGGACAAACCGGGCCACCGTACCGAACTGGCGCATTGCCTCCGTGTCGCACCATCCGCGACAACGAAGGCATCTCGCTTCAACTTACGTCCCGTGCGACGACAAACATCTACAACGAATCGCCATGCACCATAATCGGTGTACGTGATGAGTCCATCCCCTCCCAATCACAGTGACTCAGATCCCGCCCCCGAGCGGACTGAGGAGTGCCCGGCGCGGCGGCCGCACCTGGCCGGCGTCCGGCGCCTCCTCGGTGGTCACGTTCTGAATGACGATGTGCTGGTCGGCGACGCCCTGCTCGACCACTGCGTTGCCCTCGGTCAGGATCATCTCCATGGCGTCCTCCACGGTGTAGTCCTGCTCCGCGCCTGCAGGGCGGCAGCCGCTCGTCACGCGCTGCCCGTGGGGCTGCCGTGTCACAGCAGGTGACACGGCGCACGGGCCCGACTGGCGCGGCGCTGGTCCTGTGTCTTCGAGGCCATCCTTTCGTGGTCGGTGGACAGTCACAGGTGTCGCCAATCAGGCGTGAGGGATTCTCGACATCCTACGACGGCAGCCGAGACGACAGAACGGCTACAATAAGCAGGTATTGCAAGTTTTTGACGCCACTCTGAGCTGCTTATCTTCCAGGTGGCAGCTACTTGGCTGTCCCACAGACAATTCGTCCAATAAGTCGTTTGATCATCGTCGGAAGACACATCAACATTTTCGTGCAGAGCACTTTTCATTCCCTCACGACCAATGGCCTCCAAAAGTAACTGTATTGTCCAACTCCTAAGCCCTCACATCGTTCACAGCCCCACGAAGGGCCGCAACATTCGCTTGATGCGTTCAATGCCATGAAAGCAAGCATTAAGTTACAACTTCACAACTGTAGCCAAGGTGCTCTGAAATGTCTTCTTTATTTGGGTCCTGGGATTGCAAAGTTTGATCCAGGGAGATCAGCCTGCAATGTTCTTGCTTGAAACTAAACAGCCATCCCGCATTCTGACTCGTCCACCGACACATGCACGCCACGGTGAAGCCATGCGACCTTGTGACGTTGCTTTGAGACGGCGTGCGGCGCCGACACCCACCTGTCTGCTCCGCCGAGATGTAGTGCACCGTGCCGTCCTCGTTCTCCACCTGCAGCAGGCGGATGACGCCGTCCGGACCGGCCGCGCTGTCCGGCACGTGCACCACCACCTGGCCATCCTCCTCCACGACCTCCTCGTAGCGAGCCACGCGCTGCGGCAGCGGCGGCGGCGGCGGCGGCACCGGTGGCGGCGCGATCACCGCCCCCGTCTGCCGGTGACAGACGGCGGCGTGTGTGAGGGAGGCGCTGACATGGTCTGAGGAACACTCACATGCCCTCACGACGCCCGCGCGCGTGTTCGGATGCGGTGCTCGGTGTTCCGAGCGGAGCAGACGCGGCCGACTAAATGAGGTCGTGCGTGCGCCACATATCACATGAGTCAGTTCGCGTTTACTACATAGCGTGAGCGATGTAAGAGTTGCCTACGGCCTCCAAACGTTACCGACGGCCATCGGGTCCTGGCATATACGCATAAAGCGCGTGGGCATTACATGTCAAAACTATGAGAAGCTTATAGTGTTTAGCAAAGGGATTCAGCTTGCGTGGGCTGGTTTGCAATACGAGGCTTAATTTGCACCGTGCGCCAGCTTCCCACTGAACACATTACCAGCTGACTGCGAAATGATTCAAAACGACGGTAGAAACCCCTAATTAACTTAAAACCAAAGCTCAAAGCCATTCTACCTATACGATCTCACCTTCTCCCACCAGAAACACAGCCCTGCGCGGGCGCGCATTACCGCGTACCTCGTCCGTGTACGGCTTCACCACCACCTTGATGCGGGACTTCTTGGGCGGCGCACCCGTCAGTCCGGCAGCGTGCAAGCCGAGATCGACCGGGCACGGGACGTCCTCGAAGCATCCCAGCGTGGCGTTGTACCGCTGGAAGGTCGGCTCTGGATGGCACAGGACAGTGTCAGACAGAGCGTATCCTATATATATATATATATATATATATATATATATATATATATATGAAAGGCATCTTGTAAAGAAAAATGGGCATAGGTCAGACATTGATAACAATAATAATGCTTGATTCATGCCACACAAGTTCCTTGTTCTTTGGTGTTTTATCGCGCGCTGACTGCAATGATCTGCTTGCTACCGCAGGATGCACCCACCCAATTTCGCACCTACTTCCATGTGATGACATAGGAGAAAAGAAGTCCATCTCTTTTGGTAGAGCTAGGATACATTAAGCTGATGGAGTGCTTGTGTTGCTCTTTTCATTTAATAGGTTGTGTTCTTATCATTAGCTAGGAGTATTCAAAACACAGAAATTGTGTGGAATGCCACAGTTCAGATTGCAGGACAACAGGACAATGATTTGGGTAGTCACTTCATCTTTCCATGAGTCAACAATTCTGCAGACACTGCAGCTATCAGTTGGCTGCAGCGTCCCACAATTCTGCTCTGCAAATACTCACTGCCAAGCTGTCCATAGCCGTGGTCTCCAGAACTGTAGCCAATATCTTTCAGCTGACCTCTAGGCTTCTTGTTCCATTTAGCCATTGCAGCCATCTGCAAGAGACCACTCTGTGAATGCTAAGTGCCATCAGTGAAAAATGGCTAAACAAAATACACATATTTACACAGCATGGGTGGATATGAGAAGTCAGAACAGACATAAACTACCTTGACATTCAGCATCAATCTGCTAAAAAGTTGTCATGTTTCATAACTTGTGTGTTGTAATGTTGAAATCCAGCCATAGTGGGACATCTCCCCAGCAAAAAAAAACATGTCCTTTGATTGGTGGGGATCACACAGTCCAAACACCAAAAGCTACCAAAATTGCTGGATGGTAGATAAAACTATGACAGGCTGAAAAACATATTATTTTCACCACATTTCCCTTTATGTGTGGTAGTAAATCATCTGATAACATCAGCTGTTTGCACAGTGCTGACAAACTATTACCAGCACAGGTATGTCAGTTTATCACACAAGAAATACACACTCCAAACAAAACAGCACTTACACAAAAGACCTATAAATCCTCAAAAATATCTAAAAATTGATACACATTGCCTCAATGTGGGGGATACAAACCAAACCACACCAGTGGTGAGCTTGGCTTAACACAGGCTGTTAGCTACCCAGATTAAGAACAAATAAAGGTATTAGTGGAAAGTGTTACCAAAAGGGGAATGGACATGAGAGCCATCCCTCAACATTCTGACATGAAAGGCCACTCCTTGCCATGTCAGTAAGTACTGTGCGTGAGTTCCACTCTACGCCAGCAAGTTTGCCACTGCAGCCTGGGCCAGCCTGGCACGCTGGTAAAAACAGGCAGGGAAGGCTGTTAGCAGGAGTCTGGCAAATGATGTTCCATTTTCTTATAAATATTATATTAGGATATTGTATTCATTGCTTCATATGCACTTTTACAAGATGCTCTGCCAGGTGTGGACCACTTGGTCTGGTAGAGATCAGACACATGTGAAGAGGTTGGAAATATGACATTTACTAACATCAAAGGGATTGAGCAGTTACTCAAACCTGGTGTCCACCATCATTAGCTACAGTCAAGAAATACCAATGAACAATGATAAGTAAAATCTGGGAGGAACTAACAACTTAAAAGTCATTTCACATTTATCCTGGACCAGATGCTTTTACTGCCAGCATTGAATTTTTAACTGGAAAATTGATCATGCATTTATTTTCTCAAGGTCTTTGCAAGGCACAGAAAGAAAGCAAAATTGGGTTACTTCATTCTCAGCACCAAAACATATGATACAGCTCAACAAACACCACTCAAACTGGCAAATGCCTCAGAGCCTTTTGCTAAACATAGCTACCTAAACGTTCGAAATATTGTTTGTCTTGCCTCGTAACAGCACCCCTTACAACTGACCTGTCAACTCCTCTCCAAACATTATTCCATCAAAATTTCACATGTACATAGCTTCTGTGATAGCTAAAATGACCATTTTATGCTCGGGAATTCCCTTCCATAGAGATTTTACATGCTGAGCTGACGTGAGACTCTGTTTGCTAACTGTTTCTGGCCTTCTTTGTGCCCATTGTACTGTGTATGGCTTTGGTGGGCAGTAACTGTTTCAAGCCTTCTTTACACCCATGTACTGTGTACAGCTTTGGTGGATGTGGAGGTGTACAGCAGCATGTAATAAGCATCCTATAAGGCAATTGATGCAACATACCACAGGCTTCTGAAACAGTGTATGGATCTGTCTAGCAACAAAACCACTGGTTGTTACAGTAGTTTTATTGTCACTGGTTATAACCACTGGTTGTAAAACAAGTTGTATCTGTGCTTGCTTTGGTGTATTGATAATGTAAGGAAATATTACAAACATACTGTGCAGATTTACTCGCAGACCTGACCAGGCAACCAGGGGATTGTGCATAAGACCCCATCTCCTGGGGCAATTCACGCATCCTGAATGGTAACTACTGGATGTGTGAGCTTATTGAACATAATGTGCGTAATAGAATGGTATGCGCTATTCCCTACTGCTGGGCATACAGACCTCGACATGGAATCACACACACTTGGGCAGCCCCTGTCTCACTTGTGCTGGAAGTGGTAGTGACTCAAGTTGTATAAGGGGTGGTGACCTCCCATCGAACTCAGGACTGAGATCTGCTTACTCAGATGTCACTGCTATGCTGGATGACTAATGTACTAGTGACTAGGGTGCCAGGCCCACATACAATAAATTGATATCTGTATCAACCCTACAGTTAGGGACACAAGCCATGTATTTGATGGCATATGTTATGAACTTTGTGTTTGGTGTATTAACGTCGGAGCATAGCTCAACGAGCGATTCATACTGCCGAACCGGGCGCCAACCGCAGAATCACGCCTTTGCAGTCCACTTCAAAGGTCCGTAGCTGATTTAAGTTCGTTCAAACGCACGTAACTTGTGATTCAGAGGTGAGAAATCTCTGACAGCATACAACATTCGCGATTTCACCTCTCTTAAGCATAAAATACGACTAAATCGCCATGGGAACTACCTAACCACGCAAATAAAGCGTACATAGCCACTATTTCACCTATTTTACCTGCCGCTTTCCCACCACAGCGCTCGGAGCGTTGTTCATGGCGCAGGGTGCTGGCATTTAGGGAGGGACTAAATGGCTGACCAAACCTACTGACAACCAAACGGTCCGTGCCCGTGGCATTGATTGACAACAAACCCTGACCAATCGATGTACCCTAGTCCATATTTTAATTTTTCAGAATGTGGAGATCTTGAGTTAGGTTAAAAGTCACCAAATACAAACGGGGGAAGATAGGGTTGCAGACAGTCGATGGCACTAATGGCAACAAATCCAAATTCCGAGTCTAAGGCACCAATCAGAATCAAACCTTAAATCGATGTGCCATGGTCGGTATCTTGTTCCCTCCCAAACATGGTGACCTTAGGTCAATTCAGATGTTGCCATCCCGTTCTGCGCACTCCATTGTCCGCTACAGCCGTCATTTTGCGATCTTGCATTCCACAACCAAATACGTGCGTCACAGCTAAAAGCATGACGTATGTAATAGTTCAAAATATCAAAAACATGAGCCCCATGTCGTATTTAAGGTACGTAAAAATATCAGATTAATGGGTTAAAAGTAATATTAAAATCATTAAAGACCACAAAACTATACCATATATCTTATTTAAAGTATTTCGTCATAAGTATTTCTGTAATGACAAGGTCTTACCATATTGATTGTTGCGCTTATGGCTGAGCTGGGACGAATAGACAACCGTGAATCTCACGCTGCCCCACCGCGTGCGTGAAGACATCAGTTGATTGAAAATAACGCGGTGTAGGCTACGGGGGCTTTCATTGGCTAGAGCAAAAAAGGAGCTTCAAAAATGGAATTCAGTTCTACTGAAAGCGCCAATACCAGTAACAAGGAAGCCAGTCTGATAGAGATATCAGCCGATGACAGGGATGATGATAGAAATAAGACTTTCATTCTGCATGGGGAAGATCATACCTTTGGGAATTCCTTGCGATGGATTTTGATGAAAGATAAGGATGTTCAGTTCTGTGGGTACACAATTCCAAATCCTTCACAACGTGAAGTACATCTCCGCATTCAGACTTACAAAAAACCAGCAGTCGAAGTTCTGCGTGAAGCATTGGTGCGTCTGAGTGATCTCACCAGCAGGATAGCAGAGGAAGTGAAGGTATGGTGTGTATGTTTCCACTAGAAATGGAAGCTAATAAAGGAAATGTTTATGATGCGGTGTCTTTTCAGAATGATATGCTTTTAGTTCAGGTAGTGGTTACAGTTTGCACTCATCCACCATTCTTTTAACAGCAGTTAGTTCTACCACCATATAGTTGCTTACCATTGGAGACAAGCAGATGTCCAGCTTGTGGTCTGCTGCATTTCATGCAAATTAGAAATGGTACCATATGGCTATTAAAGTTAACATACCACAAAGCTCAAATCATCATTATCATGTGTATTACGATGCCTGCCATTTTTAGCATTGGGTGTGCACAGTAGGTATCTACAGTTACTATTGCAAATGGTGCACAAAACAATGCCATTGAAGTGTCTGTTCCTATGTTTATGTGTCTGGAATGCCACACAATTTCTTTTTGCAGAATAAAGCTGAAGCATTCAGATTGCAGCAAGGGAGCTGACTCTTCCATGCTGTCTTAAAAAACAAGTTGGAATTATCAAGATTGCTGGGCCAAGAAGAAGGGCTGCTGCTATGATTTTTCAATACATGATAGTTGTGTACCATTTGGATGTTGGACACACATGCCATGTTAAAGGTTAGGTCCAGGACAACATATAATTCTGCAAGGAAATCAATGTGCACCAAATTGTATAGTTTGTGTAAAAAATCAGTCACTTCATGCATTCTGTTCACCACATTGACAATTTCAACTTTCCCCAGTGTTTTTACTCCCTTTTCCATATGTATGCCACATTAAACCTGTGATTGTCTCTGTAAAATGTTTTTTAAACAAGCTCAGTGAATAGGGCTTGCAGGTAGCATGCAGGCAGACTGCTATATGAGAATAGGCTGTGGTCCCCCCAGGCAATACTCTTGAAACTACATAGGATACAGGGGGCACCTGGTCCTGTTCCATGATACTCTCAACATATACTTTTGAGAACAAGTTCTTTTGGGACCTTTATCACCAGAGACACTTGCAGAGGGTCACGATGTCCCAGGAACTATCACTGGTCCGTGCACACCACATGGAGCACCCAAGCGGTCAACGACTGAAGCACACTGCTTCAGCACATTACATGTGCATCCTCACTGGACGAATTCAGAACTGGGATCGATGAGTTTTATCGGAATATGCCCATCCCCATCTAGCGTAGGTATAGTAATGAAACTAAGGCCGACCTCTATGAGGCCTGGGAAAACAGGTCGTTTAGCCATAAAAGCTGTCTTGCTAACCAGTCGAGTTAAGATGTCCATAGATGTAGGGGGGTCTCTCCCTCCTACAGATAAACAAAGTACCAGACGATCCAAACCAGCGGCGCCGCTGACGGGAGCTCTCGTGGGCTTTCAGACACCGCCTGCGTCGCCGAACGCCGACAGGAAAGACGGGTGAGATTGCTGAGTGATGCTACTGGGAGATGGAGTGGACGCTCGAGCGCGGCCTATGGTCCACCCGGCCGCGATTGTGGCCCACCCGTCGGATCTCGGGTGGCCGGCTTGGACCACGCCGTCGTCTCAAGCAGTAACGGGGCGGTGTTGCACCCGGCGGATTCTAGTGTCACCCGAGGTCGGGGCTCCACCCAATGTTTTCCTCATGGCTCCAGACGCTATCGAGTTTTGCATGGGTCTGGAGTGCCAAAAAGCAACTGACGCAAACAAAATACACGCAATGCTTTCTGAGCTGCGTCGTGAATATGAACAATGGCTGCTTTGCCTCGTCTTCTCCAACCAAAGCCACGCGGGGAATATTCGCCGAATAGCGGGGGGGGGGGGGGGGGGCTGCCGTGTTGCATCTACGCCCACGGGATGCCCAACACTAGTGAACAAGCGATGATGCAAGAACGGACAGGAGAGGCTGCATGACCATATCAGTCGGGGCGCCCTAAAACAACATAGATCGGAAGGACGTTTAATATACATGTATTGGTTATCAACGAAATGTATGCACAAACGGGCACGCATTTAAGTGTACGCTCACTGTAGTTCATAATAAATGTTCTAGCTCAGTAGCCAAGCTCGCTACACCCCTGCTGTCACGCAGAGCCCACGTTATCACATCCAACTGCAAACGTCTGCTCTGGCGTCACGCGATCCAGTGCGGCCGCCTGGGGCCTCTGGAGACGCGGACGCCGGCAGAGGCCTCAGCGAAAGCCCGCGCGCGGCTCATTGCGGCACACGAGACAGCAGTCGGGCCGGCCGGCCGGCAGGCAGGCGCGATGGAAGCCGTGGCGGCAGTGGAACACCACCAGGTCGACCACCTTGGCCGGATCGCGCTGCAGCAGCGGGCCGCGGCACAGGCAGCACGCGGCCGCCGCCGGCACGGGCACGGCACGCGCGCCGCACTGCCGCCGCCTCGCGTGCAGCAGGAAGCAGTCGCTGACCAAGATGCGCCGGCAGTTCTCCTGCAGGTCCAGCTGCACCTTGTAGTCGTGGAGGATCTGGACGAGCGCGTCGCGCAGGCCCGGGATGGCCAGGCCGTTGTCGATGCGGCGCACGAGGCGGCGCGGGTCCACGTGCGTGCCGATGTTGAGCAGCAGCTCCTTCACCATGGCCGGCTGGTCGAGGCAGTAGGCGATCAGGTCGTCCCACAGCTCGGCGTCGTCGTGCTCCTTGCAGAAGGCGATGGCCTTGCGGATGTCCGCCAGCTGGCTCATGATGAGCTGCAGCGCCTCGCGCGTCGCGCCTGTCCGGCCGAGCAAGTAGACCGTCTCGCCGATCAGCGATCGTGTCTGGCACACCTGCAGCGCGCGCTGCAGCGAGTACTCGTCGCTGCCGCGCAGGAACTCGAGCAGCCGTCCGCGTTCGTAGTCGGCGAGCAGCTCCACCAGGCGGTCATGGTACTTGCCGCTCAACTCGCGGTGCCGCTGGTGCAGCCGCCACAGGTAGCGGTAGAGCGTGGCCGGCGCCGCCTCCAGGTCGGCCACGACGCGCTCGGGCGGCGCCTGGTCGGGCCGGTCGGTGAGCAGCTCGACGGTGCGCGCCTCATCGACGCGCGCCAGCGCCGCCGCGCGGTCGGCCACGGCCGCGTGCAGGCCGTGCCTCGCCACCAGCTCGAACACGCCCGCGTGGCCCAGCTTCAGGTAGATGGCGAGTGCCTTGTCGTGGCGGCCCTGGTGCGTGTAGAGCAAGCCGAGCGCCTGCAGCAGGCGCGGGTTGTCGGCGTCGTGGAGTAGCTGCTCGAGCGCCGCGTTCACCACGGCGCCGCAGTGGTACAGGCTCGGCGACCACTCGCGCACCAGCCGCAGGAACTCGTCCTGGTCCGTGCGCATGAAGTTGTACAGCACCATCTCGTAGACGGTCGAGTCGAGCCTGAAGTCGCCACGCGGCAGGTAGCCGCTGATGGCCTTGAGCTGGCGCAGCGCCGCGAACCGGTACACCTCCTCCTCCCAAAGTGCGCGGCTACGGCCAAAGATCGAGTGACAGAGCGAGGCGGCCAGCTCATAGCGCTCCTCCTGCAGCAGGCTGTCTAGGTACTTGCGGCCGACGTCCTGCAGGCAGTGCCGGCGCACGGCCAGCCCGGCCGCCTGCAGCTGGTGCAGCGCCTCCTCGAAGCGGCCGTGTTCCAGCAGCCAGTCGAGGTGGTCGTCCGTGTCGCGCGGCCGCGCCACGATTACGTCGCTCGGCGCCAGCACGAAGAATGCACCCTCGTCCGGCAGGCAGTCGAGCCGGTACTGGTTGGACGAGAAGTTCTGGAAGCCGCGCACTGTCAGCTCGTCCGTGGAGAGCTCCTGGTAGTCCTCAGGCAGTGGGCGGATGACGCGCACCTGCGGTCGCGGCCGCGGCCCTGCGCCGGTTCTCGCTCTGCGTCAACAACACAGCTCATCGCCGCACGCCGCCAGCCCGCACACGAGAACTCGGTGTGGAAGATGTGCGTGATCTCCATGTGCGCGGCGGCGGCGGCGGCGGCATCGGTGGCGGCGCGCGGCTCGCGCACCACCGCCATCTGCACGGAGCGCCGCCAGCCGACCAGCAGGTTGGCGCGGGCCGCGCCAGAACAGGTGGCAGCGGTGGTTGGCCGGCCGTTCGCCGGCGTCGCAGCGGATCAGGCTGATGACGCGGCGCAGCTCTGTGTGGTACACGCGCACGCCGCCGTCCGACGCCCAGGCGAGCAGCGGGCCGCGCCAGCTCAGCGTCTGCAACAGTGCCGTCGCCCTCATGCACCACGGTCGGCCGCAGGCGCGCCAGGAACGTCTTTTCGTGCAGCACCACGCGGCTGTCGCCGACGGCGAAGCGGCGGCCGCCGCCGGCGCGAGCGTACCCTGGGTCCAGGGCTACCGCCTTGACGGGAGCATCGAACGCCAGGCTGTGGCTGTTGTCGCGCGAGTACAGGCCGTGCACGCAAACGGAGCCGTCGTCGGAGCAGCTTGCCACGAACTCCCCCGGCGTCGTCGGCGCTGATCTGGTTCACGCAGAGCGTGTGCGGCTGCCGCGCCGGGCCGCACGCGGTTCCCCAAGTGGTCAAACACGTGCACGCGGCCTGGGCCCGTGCCGACCAGCACGAGCTTGGGGTGCACGCAGAGGCACGTGGCCGGCTCTTCGGCTAGCAGCAGCGCCAGGTCTGACCCCATGCGCTCGTACTTGAGATGCGGCTCGTCCTGCGGTTCCTCTGACGAGTCCGAGTCGAATGAACCCGAGTACTCTCCGATGCTGTCGGCGTCGCCCGGCTCGGGGGCCGCCTCGGCCATGGTGACTAGGTGGCGCTGCTACCCAGCGGCGATCAGCGCGTCGCGATGCAGCTGGATCACCTGCCAGGGTTAGGAATGAAACAGCTCATGAATAAGGATGTTGCTGATGTTTGGTGACTTCAAAAATCGTCGAACATCACGAAGTTTCGTTTTCGACCTTTCAAGTTTTAGACGCGTTGCGGGCAGTTACTGAGAGCTGCATGAAGACTCCCTGCGTTAGATTTTTCGGTTTGGTTTTCTGGGCTGAGGAGCAAAACCTCGCATTATACCACAGCATGTTAACAAATCCGATTTTCAGATCACAAAACCTGTCACAACATGTTCCGGACCTCGTAAATTTGTGACGATGGGTACGTGTCAGCTGATACAGCACAGCAGGTTTCCAATTAGTGTCAGGTAGCAGGTAAGCCAAAGATGCCCATAAAAATATTTACAGAAAGGACTGGAGAGGGGGTCCAGGTTGCCTGGGTAAAAATGAAGGTATTTTAAAGGGGCAACAGCACCCATAATCACAAAAGCCTCACTAACCTACAAAGCCCATGAGGCCTTGGCCAATCATACCTCCAGTGCATGGCCCAGTGCAAGCTGTTCATTCATGCCTTGATGTTCTCAGGGAAGTTCATTGTTCAAATTATGGCCAATAAGTAGCATACACGGTATATTTTAAACAGGATGAGGTGGCATGCAGGCATTGCATAAGGGGCACACAGACAAAACACAGAGCCAAATGAGCAGAGATGAACAAGACAAAGGAAAGCCACCCTGAAATCTGAGCAAGCTTTCTATAAGCCTTGAACCCTTAACATTTTGCCACTGCAAAGATGATGGTGACACCACACTTGATTGCTTCATTATGTGAGTTGGCTATGTTATATTGCATGTCATGTTTAAGATAAAGTGCACATCAACACCAAAGCTGCATGTGATGGTAGCAGACAAACTGAGGTACCCATGCACATATTTTCCAAGCACACAATGGAATGTCTAACACAAAACAACAACAAAACACATATTAGACCTGAAAGGAATGTAAGGTGAGAACTTCAATGGAGCATCCGAGTGTCACTGCATAACATCGATCACTGTTGGCTTCATGCTCAACATTGAGTACAATCAGATACAACCCCAGAATAAGGAAGATCTTCATTTAGTTGATGTAGAATCTGTCCTGCAAATACATTTGAGTGAGAGTGAATAAGGGTGAAATGAATTTGTGATCACATTGTAAAGCTAATAGGCAATGGTCATCCCAAATCTGAATATGGACAACAATTGGCATCAGTTTTTTGGAGCTAATAGAGGTAGCAACTAGAATCATGAATGCTTGCTTTATCTCTTATAGGACAAATGTATACCCTAATCTGTGCAACTCAGCAATCATTTGATTCCAAACTGTTTTGGAATTCAATTCTATCAGAATTTCTGTGGACAAAGATGGCAGTGATGACCGCTTGCTTTACATCTTGGACAAATATATCCCTTAATCCATGTATCTCAATACATAGATTTAAAGTACTCTGGACGATGATCAGTCCATCTGAGTTCATCCTAAACATACCTGCTCAAGGACTCAAGCCAGATCAGGCCTAATATATTAAGGCTGAATCAGCCAAGACCCAAGACTGTGTTGTGCTGGTTGGGATTATGGTAGAAATAATAACTGCATAAGTTATGAGTCAGAGACAGAATTAATTGCACAGATGCAGACCTAATCACATGCCCTCTAGGCAATTAAAATATGACATGTTCAGCAACAGATAAGGGTTATTTATAAACATGCATGGATCAGGGTCCTAACACTATTGCAATGCCTGTAAGGGACACTTCCAAATATGTGTTGCAGGCAACTGAGCCTATATCACTAAATACAGTCTCATATTTTTTTCAAAAGAAAAACATCCAAATTTGGACCTATGCACATTGGGTCATTTCCCGCAATACTGCAAGCATGTATGAAAATGTATGGGCCATGCCAGATGTATCCAAGACTTATTTATTGTGGTGTAGTCACATCCCTAGTCAATAATTCTGCACATGCACGCACTGCAACAGCACTAGGCATTTAAAGAAATCACGAAAAGGTAAGTGTCGGAGGGACGTATCCCGATCAAGCAGCGGGTACTACACGACATGGCGCACGAACGTCCCCCGATGAGGCACCAAAATGAACGCATGCTGACACTAAGTATGGACAAACCTTTCCACAGGTACCTGTGTACTGCGTTTACAAAGTTATGGTTTCCAACAAGCAGCCACCACTCAATTAAACGTCAAACATACCCAGCGACCGCCACCCAAACCAACACATAACACGCGACACCGCAATCAGCTGTCGTGTCGAAGATTGTTGGCTCCTAGTTGTAGCGCCATCTATTATGCAGCGGTAGCTTTGGCGCCATCTGTATGACTTTCGGTCATAAATATGGTTTTAAGAAAACAAATGCACATGGAACACTGCGTATGCATAAAGTGCGTACGCAATTGTTTGTGAACAAACGCAGACGAGGTATAAAATCTGCATAGCAAAAGTTTGCATGCAAAGGCTCCACGCAATTCGCAATGTGCGTGCAAAATGCATAAATTACGTATGGAAAATGATCTTTATTGCTAAAAGTTGGCATGGAAAAGTACTCATGAATAACGTACCACGTACAGAGAAGGCACAATGACTACAGTTTGCCCCCAAAGCAGAGACCGCAGATAAGGGGGTGGGAAGCACGGGAGGGCAAATTTACTCGCAGTTTTGTACTGACTAATTTTGATTTGCGTCTAAGGCACAAAATGGTCAAATATACGCATCCAAGTCTCCATCGCATTCCTTTAGGTTGAGTGGTCTAATTTCTCATTTTCTACATCAATTGGGGTGTCTTTGAGACAGAATCATGATTTCAAAATTGCAATGGATCGAATCACCCTGTAAAGCAAAGCAAACGCCAGTACAACATGGCTCGAATTCGTGCACCGCCAGAAATGGCCTCATTGCGTGACTACTTTAGCGGAACGCATAAGAGCATGGTCAAAGGAGTTCTGGACACCCAGCGTCAACGATTCAACGCTGTCTTTTAAGCCCACACTCACCAATTTTATGAATAGTGCAGCTACGACGGTTATTTTGTTTTGTGACGGTTCCCTTCTGTCAAACTCGAGCGTTTACCGGCCGGAATAAACCGTTGATTTGTAGATATATAACCATTGCATATATGTTAAGTAAGGCAGTAATAATACCTTTACTCCCTGAAAATATCGAAGAGAATGGAGAGATGGATATAACTGATACTTCGGGTACATGCCTGCGGCGAAACGAATATCAGTATGAAATTGAAATTTTCCTTCCGATCCTACTGGATTTTCTAGATTTTTAACAGCGGGCCACATTTTTTACAGGTCACCAACGTTCAGACGATTAAAGAAGGACACCTGCCAGTCATTACTATGGCACGGTGCATGTGTAATTAAGAATTAAAATACGCGAAATATACGTATCATTCGGAAGAAACCCAGATGAACAGGTATCATGCATCACGAATCATTCATATATGCAAGGATTTCAAGTACACGATTGCAAGGAAACAAGCATCACACATCACGCATCGCTATGCATGCAAACGATTTCAATTAAACGGGCATCGTGTATCACGTGTCAGGCGTCACTCATACATGAACATGATTTTAAGCTAGCACACATCACACATCAAGACACCCCATCACACTCGTGTTTTTAGCCATGATGAGCCCCGTACGTTAAGGTCTGGTCAACGACTTCTTACAAGAAAACGTCTTTTCATTTTCCTATCAGGGTGGTCCTGTGCTCCATAGATGAATGAGATTTAAAACGGGTAGCGTCCGCACGTATTCTCTGTTTGTTTTTAGCGCATCACATGTGCTTATCACATCTCAAACGACTAGGGCGCATGGACTCCCCGACATAGACTTTGTCCCTCCCACGCTTTTCATACAGTTAACACTTAATTTCTTAAACCACATTTTTGTGCAAACCCTTGAAACGCAGACTTACATAAATGACACATATTGCCTCCAGTGCATTTGGGCTTCAAGATAGAATATTTCACCAGAGGCTGTTTTAGCTTATTGTCGCTTCTTCAATGCGTATGCCGAGTTTCTTTTTCTATCGATATGTTGTTTTATTTTCCAAAGCAAATGCTTACCTTTGTGAGGTAATGTTAAGAACCCGTCGTCCGACAGGGCGCACTTCCGTTTCCCACCACCCATACTGCACGTGTTTCACAAATTAAGTGTGAACTATGTGACAATTATTTGAGGGGCATAGTCTATGTCGGGGAGTTCATGCGCCCTATTCGTTCGAGATATAATGAGTACCGGGGACACACTAAAAACAAAACAGAATACCCCTTTCGGTGACCATTTTTGGACAAAACGCGCTCCGGCTGGAATCTAGGGAGGCACCAACCTTATAGCTCATTTAGGTCTCAAAGTCATCTACAGAGTACAGGCCCATTCAGACAGGAAAATGAAAGAACCTATTCTTACGAGAAGTCGGTGACCAGCCCTTAATTAAACGTACAGGGTTCATCATGCCTGACTATGTGAGTGTGATGAGTGTCTTGATGTGTGATGCGTTCTAGCTTAAAATCATGTTCATGCATGAGTGACACCTGACACGTGATGGGCGATGCCCGTTTAACTGAAATCGTTTGCATGCATAAGCGATGCGTGATGTGTGGTGCTTGCTTCCTTGAAATTGTTTACTTGAAATCGCTTGTATGCATGAATGATGCGTGATGCGTAATGCCTGTTTACTTGAATTCCTTCCCATGTACACGTATACTTCGCGTAATTTAATTATAAGATAGGCATGCACTGTGTCATAGTAATGGCTGGCAGTTGCCCCGCTTGAACCCTCTGAATGTTGGTGACCTACAAAAATTGTGGCTCGCTTTTAAATAGAACTTGAATGATCCACTAGGATCGGTAGGAAATGTTTTATTTGCTGCCGATGTTCATTTCGATAAAGACAGGCAGCCAAAACATCAATACATCCATCTTTCCATTCTCTTGGATGTTCTATGAGGAATAATGCTATTGGCATTGTCTTATTTACATACATACTATTCCTCGCAAATGCACTTAAACGCTTATGCGTGTGGGATTACCTCAATCCGACGCATAATGCCCGTCTTTGCCGGGCATACACTGGGCATAGCCGTTTCTGATCTAGTAGCATTGGATATTTACAAGTGGTTGCATGCTTGTTTCGCCAAGAGACTGAGTGTCAATGGCGTTTTGTGTGTGCATTTTTTTCGGGACGCATTCAACACCATTCATGGGATTCGCTGGCCGATTCGAACCTTAGACTACCGGGATGCTTAAGGAGAACCGCGTGTGATGTGCTGACTACAAGAGAAGTTCAAATATTGCTCTCGAGATTTCCACTGCAGTTGGAGCGTTGTTGTGCTCCCAAAAGTTCAAGAAAACGAAAACCCCGCTTGCTACCGCTTCAAATACCGTGTTCCCTAATTTTGCCACTGTCACTTGGCGATGCTGCTGCAATGTTTCCGTGTTGGCAGGATCTTTTGTCACTCCGAAACACACTCCGCGAAGCCGATTGGAGTTTTCTTTTGCCGCAGCAGTGAGCGTCGCTGAAAGCTTACTGCATTTCGAGGGTTCTGTTATCGTACCCGTTACAAGTAATTCTTCGTTCGCTGTGTGTGATTTCCAAGCGAGGGGTTTGGGTAACGCATTTGATCATCACCACGGCTCGCTTTTCTCGCCACAACAAATGCATGCATGCATGCATGAATGAATGGGTAAATGAATGGATGAATGAATGGTGACTGCCGGACGTCGGCAACACGCGGCGCTTGCGAGTTTCGACGTTTTACTTCAAGGGAGCACCCCCACCTTTCTGTACTTTTCACTTATTGCGACATCAGACGCGTAAGATTTGAACAGCAATACTAGTTTTATCGAAATCCTGAATAGCTAAGAATTCAGATTTGGAGTAGCGAACCCTGAGGGACAAATCCCATTTGACTCTCTGCTAACCTCTATAAAAGTGACGCGTTTTGCTTGCTTTGCTTTTGCGAATGTTTATAATGTTAGAAGCACGCTAATGTGCCAAAATCTTTGAACAATAAATGATACGAAAGGTTAACACAATGCGTAGACAAAATACATGCGATCATGAGGCTATCATCACGCGAATTCAACAAAACGTTATACTGAGGTTTCGGTGCTCCCCAATGGCTTTTATCGCATCGGGTCTCTTCGCGGCAGACTTTAGCTTTAGGAATGAGAGTATCACACGATCCATGTGACGCACTGGTTTAGACTTCAACTGACCAACTTCTCGGTAAAAGGCCCTTGCCCTCTGGGCCAATCACAAACGTTCTTTAATTCGCACCAGCAGAGGTGCACAGTGGTCGTCATGAAGACGGCGGTCACGATTGCATGGAAGAAGCGTACTGCTGTTACAAAGCGTTGGCCACGTAATTTGGACTAGAAAATGATGCAAATTGGTATTTTATTATGCCTTGACGGTGCTGCAGTGATGCCACCCAGTCTTATCATTAGACGCAGCTAGTCCTGAAGTTTTCACTAGAACATGTTTTTGAAACATGCTCCAAAGGCAGGACAGTCCCGTTAAGCTCCATAAACCTATGCTGAGGGGACTAGGCAGTCAAGCAGAAGAGCAAAGGCTATGCAAAAATACAGAGTGGAGCCTTTGGTACTGCAGCAGCCTGGAGCTCGTTCCTAAATATATCCGTCCGCCGTAATGGTTGGATAAAATGTTGTTCATCTACCATCTGAAGCATTTTTGTTCAGTACCATTTGAGGAGCATAGCTAGTGAGCCAACTAAATCGCATGTTTGCATGTTTAAGTTAGCAAAACAGTAAACGCAAACTAAAGTTAGCAAAACAGTAAACAAAACAAAGCAGTTGAACGCAAATTAATCTAGATAAGTGGGGTGGGGACGGGCAGTTGACATTGTTTGCCCCTCGCCTTGAAGTGTGTGTGCCTTCTTGCCCACCTCTATTACTACGTTCATGCCAGTTTGCCTTAACCATAAGCCAGAGAAAATTCATGAATTTGTCGATTGTATAGGTTTCAACCCTGGTTATAATTTTCTATCCATAAGATACTTCCAACCAACGTTCAAGCAATGCATTTTTGAAATAGCGTTGGAGTAGTACATCGGTTTAAACTTTCTTGTGAATTTTTAAAATAAATTGTATCCGAACCCTTTGAATGGATGGCTTTCTGGGATCAGCGCCCACGCTAAGCAGTGCTTGTTGTGTGAGCCCTGACCCCCCACCACCCGATCGCGCAG